TCATCCTTGTCGCCATGCGCCCCTAGATAAGAGCACGTTTGTAAATGAGGAGGTGGATTTCTGTCGAGAACGCCCCAAACACTAACCCCCAAACACTAACCCCCAAAACACTAGCCCCCCCAAACACTAGCCCCCAAAAACACTAGCCCCCAAACACCTTTACCCCCCAAACACTAGCCCCCAAACACTAGCCCCCAAAACACTAACCCCCAAACACTAGCCCCCAAAACACTAACCCCCAAAACACTAGCCCCCAAAACACTAGCCCCCCAAAAACAAACACTAGCCCCCAAAACACTAGCCCCCCAAAACACTAAGCCCCAACAAAACACTAGCCCCCAAACACTAGCCCCCCCCAAAACACTAGCCCCCAACACTAGCCCCCAAACACTAGCCCCCAAAACACTAGCCCCCAAAACACTAGCCCCCAAAACACTAGCCCCCAAAACACTAGCCCCAAAACACTAGACCCCCCAAACACAAAAAAAAAATAGGCCCCCAAAACACTAGCCCCCAAACACTAGCCCCCAAAACACTAGCCCCAAAACACTAGCCCCAAACACTAGCCCCAAACACTAGCCCCAAAACACTAGCCCCAAACACTAGCCCCAAACACTAGCCCCAAAACACTAGCCCCAAACACTAGCCCCAAACACTAGCCCCAAACACTAGCCCTCAAAACACTAGCCCCAAACACTAGCCCCCAAAACACTAGCCCAAACACTAGCCCCAAACACTAGCCCCAAACACTAACCCCCAAAACACTAGCCCAAAACACTAGCCCCAAACACTAGCCCCAAAACACTAGCCCCAAAACACTAGCCCCCAAAACACTAGCCCCAAACACTAACCCCAAACACTAACCCCCAAAACACTAGCCCCCAAAACACTAGCCCCCAAAACACTAGCCCCCAAAACACTAGCCCCCAAAACACTAGCCCCCAAAACACTAGCCCCAAACACTAACCCCCAAACACTAACCCCCAAAACACTAGCCCCCAAAACACTAGCCCCAAACACTAAACCACCAGGCCCCCCCACAAAACACTAGCCCCAAACACTAACCCCAAAACACTAGCCCCCAAAACACTAGCCCCAAAACACTAACCCCCAAAACACTAGCCCCCAAAACACTAACCCCCAAAACACTAGCCCTCAAACACTAGCCCTCAAAACACTAGCCCCCAAAACACTAGCCCCCAAAACACTAGCCCCAAACACTAACCCCCAAAACACTAGCCCCCAAACACCTAACCCCCCCAAACACTAACCCCCAAAACACTAGCCCCCAAAACACTAGCCCCAAAACACTAACCCCCAAAACACTAGCCCCAAAACACCAGCCCCCAAAACACTAGCCCCAAACACTAACCCCCAAAACACTGGCCCCAAACACTGGTCCCCAAAACACACAAACGCCCGCCCCCGAGCCGCTTCATCGCGCCGCCCCGCGCAGTCACAGCCACGAAACCCGCCCACCTGGGCGCGAACCCGCCCCCGCCCCCGCCCCGGGCCCGGGGGGGCCTGTCGCCCGGCAGTGGGCGGAAGTGGCGGTGACGCTGTTTCCGGTCGGCGCCGCGGAGCCAGTCGCCGGCGTTGGGATGGTCATGGCGGATGTTGTGCTGATCGTCGCCGGCGGCGGCGGCGGCGGCTTCTGATAGCTTCTTCGTCATCGTTTTTACACGGCAGCTCACATGGCCTTCACGGTAACGGCCCAGAGAGAGACAGGCGCCGGACTGAAGCTGGAGCCCGAGCTCCGGCAGCGCCTGACATTCCTGTTTTGTCTTAATTCCTACATCACATTAGTCGAGCGGTGACCCCTCTCCCCTCTCCCTCTCTCTCACTCACTCTCCCCCTCTCCTGTGTTTATCTTCTGTGCTGAATCCCTCCTCTCCTCCTACCAGGCAGTCGGGCCCAATCGAGGGCTCGTGGTTCGGGTCTTGATTTCAGGTTTAAAAGAGGCTTTTGTGCTTAAATTAACTGCAGATTTCCGGTTCTCGTGTGTGTGTGATTTTTAATTCTCCGACGGCGGTGGAGATGCATTGCAACTGTTCCGAAGTGACAGTTAAGGGAACCTTCCAACTCCGGAGGAAGCGAATCAGTCGCCGAACGAGGGACCCTGTAGACATTTTTTACGGTGCAGCCGACTGTAATAATCGTGATAATCCTTGCATTTGATATCGCGCCTTTTCATGGCTTCGAGACGTCTCAAAGCGCTTCACAGAATATACCGTAAAGTGAATATACTGTGACATATGGGGATACTATCAATTCGTATGTCCCAAGTGTTTTTTTTTCTTTTTTTAGTTTCCATATTCATTTCAAAGTTGCGAATGTATGTTCTCTCCTCCTCCCCCCCCCCCCCCCCCCTCCCGAAACGTCACTCACTGCTGCCGTGAAGTATTCCAAAGAACGGCACTTTGCCCCGAAACCGTTAATAATAATAATAATAATAATCCTTGCATTTGACACAATTCCTTATCACATCATCGAGGTGTCTCAAAGCACTTCACAGAAGTGGGCAAAATATTGTAATGTGTAAATCTCGTAAGTACCACAAACACCGAAGATCTGAGTTGTGAAATTGAATGGTTGGTGTTGCCAATTCGTGGAGTCCTGTAGCTCAATGGTTAGAGCACTCCTCGCAAGTGAGAGGCCTGGGTTCGTTTCCCAGCAGGGCTTACTCTCCATGCCTCTGTTTACCTAGCAGAAAGTAGGAACCCAGTTATTAGTTGATTGGCAGTTCGTATTTCCGGGAGTAATAATTCCTTAAAAAAAATTGGTCACTTTGATCCACGGCTGTTTGTGGGACATTGCCGTGTGCAATTGGTTTCCGCGTTTCGCCCACAAAATACAGTCAATTCACTTTACAGTATATTCTGTGAAGCGCTTTGAGACGTCTCGCAGACATGATAAAGCGCTATATCAAATGCAAGGATTATTATTGTGCTAATATGTGATTTAAGCTTGGAAATGTATCTTCAGTTTGATCTCTTCATGTAGAAGTATCATGACTAATGTATAATAGTGAAGAAATGAGAACAATGTAAACTTCCTAATATGAAAAACAATTACAAAAATTGAAAGTTCTCCTCGAAACTAAAAGTTCTCTTTGACATTGAAAGTAAAGAGATTTCATTTTTTATATGATTTTGTAAAATGGATGGTTGTAGATTTTTTTAAAAAAAGCTTTTTAATCCAGCTAGTCTTTTGTCTTCCCCTCTGATACGGTGATATATGCTTAAGTCTAGATGGGCAGGAAAGATTAGTTGTGGTGCCCTAAGCCTTCCTAATACATAAATGGTGGACCAAACACAGATGCATTTAAGTTCCATTACTTTGAATTTAAAAAAAAGTACTTGTCATGGAGCCTTTTTCTAAAAGCAGGTTGTTTGCGGTCTAATCACATATTAGTAATTCTGTCAAATCCTGTTTAATGGACATTGTTTCTTCAAAAAATGAAATATTTTGTAAGACTAAGTTAGTATCTAATCATATGACTCATTACAAGCTTAGTGTGTACGGCCCAAATCAGGAATTTGGATGTGGAGAGCCCTGCTTTTGTGTGTTTTTGTTTTGCTCAGCAAAGTGAGCAAGCTAAATTCACATCAGAGAAAGCCACAAAAGCACTATTGTGCTTCAATAATTGTCATTTCTTTTGTTTCAGTCAGCTCAGCTCATTTCTTCCGAGTAGTTATCCCTCTAGTTATCCCTCCATCTCTGGCAATAACTGTATGGTCAATTTTAAAAAAGGATTGCTCATCTTTTAATTTCTGATGTTTGAAATGAGTAATGATAGCAGCTTATTTTAGAAGAATACTGCTGGCATATAATTTGTTAAACTGCCGATGAACTGAGATTGTGTTTTCCTATTTGTCGTATGTTGAGGTAACAATACTTTCTTTCTTCTAGGTGTGCTGACACATGTAGATTACAAACTCATTACTGGGTTGTATTTAAGAATAACAGTCATGGTGGAAGTTGGAAAATGGCCTATGTTCACCTTGCTTTCCCCAGAAGAAGTTAAATCTATTCGTCAAGCATGCGTCTTTGGTAGTTTGGCTAATGAGGTTGTGTACATAACAGAAAGCGGAGAAGTAAGTTTTTGGTTGGATTTATCTATCTGCAGGATATACTTTTTCAGATAAGCTTTCTAGAATTACAGTAATTTACATTCACTAAAGTTATAAACTTCCACTAATGTCACCTACTTTAAATAGACTTAATTAACAAGTTTTCTGTGGAAACTTTAGGAAGATAAGACTTCTGTTTAACGTCTCATCCAAAGGACGGCACCTCTAACAACGCAGCACACTCCTAACACTGCATTGGAGTGTCAGTTTAGACTATATGGTTTCCAAGTCCCGACGTGGGACTTGAACCCCAAACCTTTTGACTTGGACAAGATTCCACCAACTAAGCCAGACTGACACACTAGCCTTAATGTTCCTTGATACCATACCCACTACAGGTTGAGTACAAATTAGTTTCATTGTATTGCGGGTGAGTGAGATTGAAACTGCTGTAATAATGATTAGCTAGACAAATTAGGGCTCCTGAAAGGAGAACGCTGAGCGAACTTTATAGAGGAATGCAAGATTTTAAATGGAATTAAGGAAATAAATCCAGAACAATACTTTTGGTTTGTTTTATTGCAAATACGCTAATAGATTAATACTGACACTTCAAAAAGCAGGAGGGGTTATTGTAGATGGAGTCCTGTAGCTTAGTGGTTAGAACACTCGCCTTACAAATGAGAGGACCCGGGCGAAATATTGGGCAAGTTTCCTTACTCCACATACCTCTGTTTACCTAGCAGTAAGTAGGAACCTGGTTACTAGTCGATTGGCAGATTGCTTTTCCGGGGTTAATCCTTTTTTAAAAAAAAATCACTGTTTGTGGGACACTATCAAATGCAAATATTATTGCAATTATATTATTAAGAGGATTGCCCTGTATAGAGTGCCAAATCTCATTTTGTTTAGGTTTTTGCATTTGGAGTGAATTGCAGCAACTGTTTAGGAACTGGAGATGGTCAGAGTACAGTTGCACCAAAGAAAATAGAAGCTTTGTGTGGAAAGAAGATTGTCTCTCTCAGTTATGGAAGTGGACCACATGTTCTTCTAGCAACTAAAGGTAAACTGTTCAACTATACCAGCTACTACTAGTTTAGCTTACTCCACAGCAGTTTTTTTTTAAAAAAATTTGCATTTGACTAATATATTAACAACAGATGAGAATTTTTGCTGGTTTCTACAGTGACAGAAAATTCAAGGTGTTCCTTTGACTATGATTTTGATAAGATTTTTTTGTTTTGTGCTTCTTTTAGCATTTTGTTGCTTTCTTTGTTTTGTTGCAATAAATAAAGGTAAATGGGAAAGGACAGCCTCAAGTTAATACATGTATAAATGAAAATAATTAAAGTATTAATATTAATCTATTAATGTTTTGTAAATAAAAAAAACTAGCTAGACAAGACTTCTGTTTAAGGTCTCATCCAAACATTCAAATAAAATATCTTGACCAATATTATTTTCTTCACCCTTGATAGTTTATTTTACAAATGATTCTTCTGAATCTGATCAGTCCTTTGGTGTCAGATTTTAGTTCCTAAGTGAGATGGAAACCATGCCTGCTCTAGATTTTTCGGACTAATATGAATCCACAATAGTTGTGCATTACAATCCTATTATTTTGCATTGGAGCAGAACAGAGAATATAGTGGGAGTCGCCAGCTTAGTCAGAAACAAAATGAGAGTTGGTAATGATTTTGCCAAATGGTAATTTTGGTGCTTCCAGTTTGATGGAGTTATCTTCAGGATAAACAGAACATCTCCATTCTCTTGGCAGCATCAGTGTTCTCAAATTTCAACTCTACAGCTCAGTAAATAAGCATAATGTGAGAATTGTTTGTTTCTCTATTAACTGTCAAACCAGCAAATTTAGTCATCTGTAAATTTCTAGTGCAGAACAGATTATACCACTCCAATTCATCAATGAAGTTGTGTTTGTTAGATTTTAAGTGCTCTGGGATGCGGCCCGGCCTGGAGGGCGGTATGTAAATGCAAGTTGTTGTTTAAAGAACTAAAACTAAGAAATAATTGTGTTTACCCTCCTTCCAGCAAAAATTGTCATGTGCAGATTCTTGGTTTTGTCCTATGTTTTTGTTCCTGTGAAACACAAACTAGTTTAAATCCTATTATCTGTTATGAACTACTAATCAATGCAAATGTGTCACTTCCACTTAACCGGGCAATGGTATCTAAAGTATAGCACTTGCACGTTGGAAGTCACTATGTGAAAGGTGCTATGTAAATTTGAATTGTTTATCTTTCCTTTTCTTATCTTCAAGGTAACTATTGTCTACTTATTCTAATTTTATTCCATCTTGGTTTGGGCATAATTTCTTAGTTTCACTGTGCCTTTCATCAGCTTTGGCTTGATGGGCTGAATGGCTTGCCTTGATGGGCCTTCAAGACCCTTCTCTTTGAGGGTCTATGCCGGCGTTTATGCTCTAAATCAATCTCCTCCTGCCCTTCCTCAACTAAGCCTATTAGCATAACCTACTTATTTCTCCTGCATGTACGTATCTAGCTTCCCCTTGAATACATCTATGCTATTCACCTCAAATATTCCTTGTGATAGCAAGTTCTACATTCCTACCACTCTCTGGATAAAGGAGGTACTTCTGACTTCCCTGTTTGATTTATTGGTGACTATTTTATATTTACGGCCCCTGGTCTCTTCCACAAGTGGAATCATCTTCTCTATGTCTATCCTATCAAAAGCTTTCATAGTTTTAAAGAACTCTTTTATTAGGTAACCCCTCACCTAATTTTATTTGATGAAATGGCTTTAATGGCTATTTTTCAGCATATTCACATAATCGCATTAAACCAGAAAAGTCTGACAAATGAATACACTAGTCAATGGCCACGGGATTAAAGTGCAGCAAGTGAATAAATTTGTCCACATCGTATGGCAAGGGTTAATTTCTGTCTGCATGAGTCAACTAAATCACTGAAGTGATATACTGGAATAGGCGATTGTGTAAAGAAAGTTGAAGTCTAGTATAATTTGGTTTGACAATTAATTTACAGAATCAGATTGATTAATCGTTTTAAGACATTTTAGATTTTGGTCCTGTGATAAAATCAATAGCATTCAGAAACCCAGAAACAAAACTTTATCTTTATCCTCTTCTTAAAAAATCTTGTTTCCCCCTGTTCAATTTCTTTCAACCCCTCTCCACCCCCAAAGTAGAGAGTGAACATGGAGAATCTGCAGCCAGGTCCCTTGTGATTTTTGAGCTAACTTCTTTATCTGCCTGTTTCGTGTGAGAAGAAAATTAATGTTTATCTTTTCATAGATGGAGAAATCTATGCCTGGGGCCATAATGGTTATAGCCAGCTGGGTAATGGAACAGCAGGTCAGGGCTTGATACCTTTCCTTGTTTCCAGCATGGTGTATGACAAGAAGGCAGTGGAGGTAGCATGTGGCTCCCATCATTCTATGATGCTAACACCAGAGGGAGAGGTAAGCTTTTTAATTAAAACAGTAGTAAGTAGACAATATACTAGTGAAATGGTCTAAATCTGCTACATGGATGGATTTAGATTATTCACAGATGGTTATTCACATATTATTCACATACGCTCAGCGAGCACCGGGCTACTTCATGTCCCCTGCTCTATCCGCACCATCATCTGCAGGGGGGGGGGGCTTTCTGCCCTCACTGCCTGAAATTCCATCCCAAAGTCCCTCTGACTTGCTCCCTCCCTCCTCTCTTTCAAGGCACACCTCGGACGTGCACTTTGACTGCTAGTCCTGGCTTGGCTGCCCATTCAGCACCGTGAAGCATCTTCAAATTTCCTCCTGAAATAAAAAGCATGTATTAATGTGTCTTGTACCATAATTGCAAGTTAAATCACAACCTACACTCTCTTTTTGAGGGGTACCATTGCCCTTCAACAATCTGTAGTGTTGTGTTGTATACAAAATTTTGAAGAATATTTACTGCCAACAATAAGCTTGAAGCAAATTGATTGTTTAATTATTATAACTTGCTAATTCTCAGCTACAGGCACTTCGTGGAGGCCTGTAGCTCAGGGGTTAGAGCGCTCGCCTTGCAAGCGAGACACCTGGATTCAATTCCAGGCAGGGCGAAACCTTGGGCAAGTTTCCTTCTCTCCGAAACAAAAAAAATAATAAATTGGTCATTTTCAACACATGACTCTTTGTGGGACGCTGCTGTGCGCAATTGGCTGCTGCATTTCGTCCACAAATATATGGTCAATTCACTTTACAGTATATTCTGTGAAGCGTTTTGAGACGTCTAGAAGATGTGAAAAAGCACTATATCAAATGCAAGGATTATTATTATTATTTGGAAACTTGAAATGATCACCTGGGTGATTATAGTAAACCTTTCCTTTAGTTTCTTTATTTTATCCTTGTATCTGTGGTGGGCCTTGATTTTCTACAAAAAATAATCACCCCAATATTTGCTTTGGTGACAGGTTTATGCCTGGGGTTATAATAATTGTGGTCAAGTGGGATCTGGATCTACTGCAAATCAGCCAACACCTCGAAGAGTTGCAAACTCTTTACAAAGCAAAAAGGCTCTTGCTATCGCCTGTGGCCAGACATCTTCCATGGCAGTGGCAGATAATGGAGAGGTCAGTAGTCGTTGCAGCCGAAACTGCTGACAAGCTATTTGGCATATTTGGAACCAGCTGCTGTACTTCACTAGTTGCTTCCAGACACAGACTTGTCTCTGGAGATGAGCTGATAATGAAAAAGCAGTAAGACTGCAGAACCTTCGCCTGTCCAGCGCCTTGGGACGTCCTTACGACATGAAATGCACAACATGAATGTAAATTTGTTGCTGTAGAATGTTTCCAGCTTATGTACACATTTGAGCAGAACATTAATGACACCTGGTTATTAATACTAACCATAATATGAACCTCAAGACTTTAATCTGTATCTGCTTGTTATGCCTTAGTTTGTTTGAAGTTGTCCGGTCAATACAGTATTAACTTTCTTGAACTTTTGGATTGGTTTATTTGCCCATTTTTTTTCTTTGATAAAACATAGCCATAGAAATCTGGAGGGCAGAAGCAATTAGACATTTTCTTCAAACCATAGATTGTTTTGACTATTCGATAAAATTACTGTGCCAAGTCCATAGTTTATTTTTCATGTAGTTGTATGCTTAAAATTCCATCAAATTTCTACCAGACTCCTGTATAAATAAAGAAAATAGTTAAAAAATGCATTAGAATTTATTTTACTTGCATGAGTAATTTGGGCTTGTGGACACAATCACATATCCAAAATTTAATCACTTCCTAGAATTGCCCAGTTAACAGTTATAAATTATTACAATGATTCTGGGAATGTTCCATAGTTCTATTGTATTTTTGTATTGTTTGGTGAAATTGACAATCTTTAAAGAAAAATATTCCACATTTCTCTACAACAGATTTCAAAACAATAATTTTGAAGTCCAGTCCAATCAAATCTGGATGTAGATGTTGGTTGCTCCATGTTTGAAAGGCTTATTACTACTAAATAGAATTTTCTTGTTCAGCTTTACAAGATATGTTCGCTACTACTTTGTGTTAAAGCTAAATATGCTGTACCTTTGTTGACTAACCTAATCCATTGTTCATTAAGACCAACAATTTATGAAGATGAGATCCTTGACTTTATTAGATGATACAACTGAAACTTTTTTTTAATATGTTAACTAAAATTTTGGCCGGATAACTGGAAGCATTATAATAATAATCTTTGCATGTGATATAATGCCTGATCAAGTTGTTGGGATATCTCCAAGCGTTTCACAGAATATACTGTGAATTAACTGTATATTTTTTGTGGACAAAACACGGCAGCCAATTGCGCACAGTAGTGTCAAAATGATAGTTCAGTTAGAGAGCTTGTCTTTGAATTTAGTTAAGAAAATAGTGAAAAATGCATTGTACTACGTGATGCCAAATATACCAAATATTAAAAATACTGGGCTTTTTTCTTTGTTTTTAAACAAACTAAATAGATCAAGATAATTCCATTTTAGAGTTGACTTTATAATGAAATATTTTGAAATCTGTTGCAGAAAATGAAACCTATATTTTTTTAAAAAATGTGCATACTTGGCCATTTTCACTAATCAATATGTATATTTAAAAAAAAAGCCAGCATGCAACATTTCCAGAATCATTATGATAAGAACCAATTTTATAAAGTTCTTGACAATTAGAATCTGGCTGTTTATTCGTGAAAACCACGTGTCGGAAAAACAACAGCAATATATTTCTGTTAGATACAGCACTTTTGAAAGCTAGGAACATTGCTTTATGAAGACTTTTGCATTCATATGTGCACTTCTTATGATTAATGGTTTAACTGATTTTAGTAGGACGATAGGCCTGGAGTGGTGTTTCTCGATATAAATTTTCGATATAATTTTACTTTATTACAGGTATATGGTTGGGGTTACAATGGGAGTGGCCAGCTGGGAATAGGAAACAATGGAAACCAGCTTACTCCTTGCAGACTGGCAGGATTACAAGGGGTCTGTGTGCAACAGGTAAGTATTTATGCATCTGTCAAAACCATCAACTGTTTTTGTTTTCATAAAGCAGAATATTGGCTCTGAGCACACAGCACAGAATGATTAAGTTCTATCTGTTACAGTATGTTTATCATATTACGTATGATGTACAGAGGCTGAAAAAGTGGATATGATGATGTGTTTGGTGTGAAGCTGTGAAAGTATTTCACTATTATTCCAATGGAGATTTGTTTTATCCTCAGTGATGCATTTCCACAGAGACTTCTAGTTCTGAATGTTTTCAGCTTAATATTCTGTGATGCTGAAAATACATGAGAAAATCTGCGATGAGAAATAGCCACCTGGCCTATCAGGGCCATTCATCATTTTGTTGTTACAATAATGAAGCTACTTAAATAGCAGGAGTAGCTGAATTGCTGTAATTAACCATATCCCTCATACCTAGTCCACAATTTAACTTAAACTTATTACTTGTGGAGTCCTGTAGCTCAGTGGTTAGAGTATTCTCCTCACAAGCGAGAGACCTGGGTTTGATTCCCAGCAGGGTGAAATGTTGGGCAAGTTTTCTTAATCCACACGCCTCTGTTTACCTAGCAGTAAGTAGGAACTCGGTTGTTAGTTGATTGGCAGATTGTTTTTCTGGGGATAATAATTCCTTAAAAAAAATTGGTCACTTCAACCCATGACTGTTTGTGGAATACTGCTATGTGCAAACAGTCGTGGATTGAGTGACCAATTTATTATTATTATTTAAAGATGCGATCCGTCAATCATCTAACTGGGTTCCTACTCACTTCTAGATAACCAGATAATAATAATAATAATAATCCTTGCATTTGATATAGCGCTTTTCACGTCGGGAGGATGTCCCAAAGCGCTTCACAGAACACACTGTAAAGTGAATTGACTGTATATTTGTGGGCGAACGCGGCAGCCAATTGCGCACAGCAATGTCCCACAAACAGTCGTAGATTGAAAATGACCAATTTAATTATTGTTTTGGGTTTTTGGAGGGATTATTATTAGGCGTATGGAGTAAGGAAACTTGCCCAAGGTTTCGCGCTCTGCCTGGAATTGAACTCAGGTCTCTCACTTGCAAAGCAAGTGCTCTAACCACAGAGCTACAGGACTCCAGATGTGTGGAGTAAGGACACTTGCCCAATGTTTTGCCTTGCAAGGAATCAAAACCAGTTTCTCTTGCTTACAAGGCGAGTGCTCTAACCATTAAGCTACAGGACTCCATGGATGGGATTGAACTTGCCAAGAGGAAGCTGAAAGAGATCTAGGAGTGTTAGTTGACTCATTGCTTACTTTGTCAAAACAGTGGGAGGAGGCAATAAACAGGATGAGGTGCTGGGTTATATTGCTAGATCAGTTGAGTTTAGATCCTCAGACGTCATACTCGCGCTGTCTGAGCACTCTGGTGGGACCTCACCTTGAATACCGCACAAAGTTCTAGTGACCGCGACATAAAGTGCTGCCCAGGTCTTAGAGGCAGTGTAGAGGAGAGCAGCGAGGATGATCCCCAGTGTTGGAGAAATGCAATATGATTAGACAAGCTAAAGTTCTTAAGCTTTGAGAGAAGACTAACTTCGAGGTGTACAAAATATTAGATGGCATTCAAAAAAAAATTCAGATCAATACTTTGGGAAGTAATCAAGACAGAAGAACAAGAGGTCATATGTTTACAGTTATCCAGGGCAATTTCAGGACAGATTCCAGGAATGTTTTCTTTATGCAGAACGTTAATGACTGGAACAGATTGCCAGGAAAGGTGGTAGAGTCTAGGCATTAGATTCATATAAAATGGCGCTTGATGTAATAATGGGAGGGGGAATGGTAGGGTGGCTGTTTTGAAAGAATGAGATTGGATGGCTAATGGGCCTTCTTCATCCAGACCAATCTTGTGATTAACAGCTTGCATCATAGATGGTTGTATTGGGAAATGTGCCTGGTAGGAGGGATAAATTATATAAATGAGCATATAGTAGTTTCCAATCAGATTTCAGTGTTCACAAAAAATGCTATTCAATGTAACTGATTTGTGTGCTACATTCTTGAATTTAACTTGCCCAGGGGCGAAACCTTGGGCAAGTTTCCTTACTCCACACGCCTGATACTAATCCCTCAAGAAAAAANTAAAATAAAATTGGTCACTTCAATCCACGACTGTTTGTGGGACACTGCTGTGCGCAATTGGCTGTCACGTTTCGCCCACAAATATACAGTCAATTCACTTACAGTATATTCTGTGAAGCGCTTTGAGAAGATGTGAAAACCGCTATATCAAATGCAAGGATTATTATTGGTAATGGTACATATGACGATTAGTTGATGGTTTTTACTCTATTTGCAGATTGTCTGTGGTTATGCTCACACACTTGCACTAACAGACGAGGGATTGCTATATGCCTGGGGAGCTAATAATTATGGGCAGTTGGGTACTGGGAATAAAACCAACCAACCAGTCCCAGCGCTGATAAATATGGAGAAGGAGAGGTAATATCGCTTTTTGCTAACCTAAACAGCTATTGTAATTTTATTGCAGCTGCATGCAATGTATCAATTGTTTAGAAATCTTACCATGCCTCTAAATTATATATGGACTAGTTCATAATCATTTGGAATACATTATGAATGTCAATGTTCAGTTTATTAACATCGTTGTCATTAAAGCCATCTATCTTATTATATTTAGATCTTATATCTATATTTCGCCCACAAAATATCCAGTCAATTAATTTTTCAGTATATTCTACGAAGCGCTTTGAGATGTCTCAAAGATGTGATAAGGCACTATATCAAATGTAAGGATTATTATTATGGATCTGATTCATTTACAGATGTTCTTTTAAAAATGTTGATCTTTCAAACCCTCTTAAGAGTGGACTACAATAGAAATTGAAAATGTACAGCACAAATTTTTCCAATTTGTTTAGAGAATATTTTTTGCAAAAAAGACTTGTGATTTGTATTTTCATACTCAACACACATCTGTGATATTTTGGTGGTATTCAGTAGTATGTATATTAATTTTATTTAATTATCATTGGGATAAATCTTTGCATTATACAATTTTATGGCCACATCATAATAATTAGAATTTTACATATTTTCACCAGCAATGTACAAGCTAATTTACAAACTCACAATTCTGGATATATAAACTAACTACTCTGACAGATCTTGTCTAATATTTATCCTGATTTTAGCTTCAAATATACAACAGATTCAAGTAACATTCTTCTTGGGATTCACATTGTTAATCGAAAAAAATCCTCTGCTTTCAAGCATAAGGGCCAAATTGAGTTTGGTGGACTAGTTAGATTCTGTAAGAAGAAATGTATTAAATGTACTATTGTACTTTCTTTTCATCCATCCTTCCCCAGAAGAGCTCAATTTGGTCACTCAATTCACAACTGTTTGTAGGACACTGCTGTGGGCAATTGCCTGCTGCGTTTTGCCTACAAAATACGCAGTCAATCTACTTTATAGTATATTCTGTGAAGCGCTTTGAGACGTCTCAATGACATGATAAGGCACTTTAACAAATGCAAGGATTATTATATTATTGCTCTTGAAAGTATATCTTAAAAGTTTCTTACTGACACAGTTTATAAATTCAACTTATCTCTCTAATAATTTTGGATTCCTATGTGCCCTCTATATTCAATTGCCAACTGATAGAGCTGGCAACCTCTTCCAACAAGAATTAGTCAAGACCAACCAGGAAACATACATTCCAAACTCTGCAGAGCATTGGTGTAATTATTCAGTCTCTAGTGCTTTAGCCAAAATCAGTGCAAAATCTTCCTGAATTGTTGCCACTGACAGATCTTGATGGACTAGGCTTAGATTAGTAACTCCTGTTTTCTTCTCTTCCCTTATTTCTCCGTGCCACCCTCTCCCCCCCAAAAAAAAGATAAAACCTGCTCTCCTCCTCCCACCCCCCCCTGCCCCAATTTATAGAAATTGGTTTTTAAATTGTTTATTTATATCTCGGAGTGTGAAGAATTGTTGCTGTGTATTTGACTCCTAACTAACCTGCAGTATGGGACCCAGTATTTCACAGTAATTGGGACTATTGCATATGGTGAGGAATCCAAAAAATATCTTGTACATTAGTAACAGTACACCAAGGAAATGTATTTTTCTCCTGAATATACGTTAAAAATAATACATTTATCACATTTTGCTCTCTTCAGGGTTGTGGAGATCGCAGCCTGTCATTCCAGTTACACCTCTGCTGCTAAGACGCAGAACGGTCAGGTGTACATGTGGGGCCAATGCCGGGGCCAGTCAATCACTCTCCCACATCTCACTCACTTCACTTGCACTGATGATGTATTTGCCTGCTTTGCTTCTCCCGCTGTTATGTGGCGTCTGCTGACTGTAGGTAAGAAGTTGTTAAGCCATAGTTATATGAATATTGTTAGAAATACAAAAAATCATCTTGTACCTTCAGTACAGAACAAAACTAAATGCTAATCATTTTGAGGGCTAAATATAACACAGCTGGCTGAAAATGGAAATATAGTGATTTCTTTGTTGTATACATTTCAGAAAACCCGAGAATTTTTTTAAAAAAAAGGTTGAGAGGTGACCTGATGGAGTTCTTTTTAAAATTATGAGGATTTATCGTGTCAATAGAGAGAAATGTATTTCCTCCAGTCAGTGAGTCAATGATGAGAAGACATTAATTTAAAGTAGCTAGAAAAGCAGATGGGGAGATTAGTAATTAGGATACAGAATACAAATAGCAATGGATGAGGCAGAATCCATGTTCTTTTTTTAAAAAAAATTGATGAGATAGCTATCTGAAAAAGAGTAAACTTTAGCGGTGTGGGGGGGAAGGCAGCTTTATGGGACTGAATGTATTGTTCTTTAAGACCCAACACAGACACAATGGGCTAAAGGGCAACTTTCTGCTGTAAATTTATATGGTTCTATGAATGTATACAACCAAGAAATCTCTGGGGTCCCATTTTCAGCCAGGTGGATTGTCTTTAGGCCTCAAAATGATTTGCAATTGGCTTTATTCTTAAATGTGTGTTTTATTTTCAAGGAATGACTGTTAAAATAAACATTTTGATTTTCACATGTTAAAAGCTGTGACTTCAGATTGTTTCATATCAACAACGCTCCAAAATGCCTCCCTGCGTGAAGGGTGCTATAAAAATGCAAGTTATTGTTGTTAATGTTTGAAAGCTTTACTGTGACTTCTGCTTTTTTTCAGAACAGGATGATCATTTGACAGTAGCACAGTCTTTGCAGAGAGAGTTTAACAGCTCGGAAACGTCAGACTTAAAATTTTGTGTTGAAGGAAAATACATTCATGTTCATAAAGCTGTTCTAAAGATCAGGTATTGAATAAAATTTCATGAGTCATTGCTTTGAAAATTCCCCGGCTGACTCAGTTTTTGTAAACTCTTATCTGCCATTGAAATGCGCTTCTGGGATACTTTTGAGGTTTATTTTTCTTTTCAGGTGTGAGCACTTTCGAACAATGTTCCAATCTTACTGGAGTGAAGATGAAAAAGAAGTCATAGAGATCAACCAGTTTACTTATCCAGTTTACCATTCATTTCTGGAATATTTATACACAGATTCAGTCAACCTGCCACCTGAAGATGCAATAGGTATGTCTTGCTGTCCTTGGCATAAATTGTTCAGGTAATCATTGATTTACGGGAATTGAGGATAGTCCTGCCAGTCAACAACCTTTACTTAAATTTATATAGCGCCCTTCATATAGGACTTCTCGGAGTGCTTTACAAAGATGCGGTTGAACATCGAATGGGAGAGAGGTGACCGTAGGTGCCACCAAAGAGATGGGTTTTAAGATGGGAAATCAAAATAGGTCTAGAGGGAGGGAGTTCCAGAGTTTAGGGGCGTAGTATCTAGAAGATTTGGCCAGATGGTGACGTGGAAAGGTGGGGAAAGTGCAGCATGCCTGGGTTAGCTGAGTGGAGTGCGCGAGCATGGAGTCGGAGAAGTTTGTGCTCCCAAGTTTGTGCTCTGGGGCAGAGAGAGCTGATTGTCCCACTCAGATCCTGTTGACCCTGCAAGCCATAGCCCTAATGTGTATGGTGTAGGCCTGCCAGACAGTGAGCTGAGAGGCTTGAGTACCGGTGAGGGTGATGAACCCTCTAGGGAGGGGAGTGAAAACAAAATGGATGCACAGGGGCACACAGGGAAGAGTGTCAATGCAATTGTCATTGGGGACATAATGGTGAAAGGAGTAAATAGGCGTTCCTGCAACCAAAGAACATGACTCTCGCATGATATGTTGCCTCCCTGGTTCCAGGGTTGAAGACATCATGGAATGGGTGCAAAACTTTCTGCAGAAAATGACAGTGGCAGCATGTATACAGAACTGGCTGGGAGACAGAAAGCAGAGAGTGGTGGTGAATGGTTGTGTTTCTGACGAGAGGGAAATGTGTAGTGGTGTCCCCCAGGGGTCAGTATTGGGACCACTGTTGTTTTTAATCTATATAAATGATCTGGACGTGGGTATAGTGGTACAATTTCCAAGTTTGCAGATGATACTAAGCTAGGAAAAGTAGTAAACAACGAGGAGCATAGTAGCAGACTGTAAGAGGACATAAACAGACTGGTAAAATGGGCAGACAAGGGGGAACATGAAGTTTAATGTGGAGAAATGCGAAGTGATGCAGTTTGGGAGGAAGAATGAGGAGAGGAAATATAAGCAAGATGGTAGAATACTGAAGGGGGTGAAGGAACAGAGAGACCTGGGGATTCATATAAGTAAATCTTTGAAGGTGGCAGGCCTGGTAGATAAAGCTGTTAAAAAATGGGGATAGAAGGCTTTATAAATGGGGGCATAGAATACAAAAGTCAGGAAGTTACGATGAATCTTTATAAAACACTGGTTAGGCCTCTGGTAGAGTACTGTGTAAAGTTCTGAGAAACACACTTTAAGAAGGATGTCAAGGCATTGGAGAGGGTGCAAAGGAGATTTACCAGGATGGTGCCAGGAATGAGGGACTTCAGTTATCAGAAGAGGCTAGAGAAGTTAGGGTTATTCTTCTTGGAGCAGAGAAGGTTAAGAGGAGAATTAATAGAAGTTTTCAAAATTATGAGGGGATTTGATAGGATGAGCAAGGCAAAATTATTTCCACTGGCAGGTGGGTCAGTAACCCGAGGACACAGATTTAAAATAGTTGTTAAAAGAAACAGGGGAGGTGAGGACAAATGGTTTCACACAGTGAGTTGTTCAGATCTGGAATGCATTGCCTGAAAAGGTGGTGGAAGCCGATTCGATAACAACTTTTAAGAGAGAGGTAGATAATTATTTGGGGAAGACAAGTTTGCAGGGCTGTGGGGAGAGAGCGGGGGAGTGGGATTGAATTGGATAGCTCTTTTCAAAGAGCCGGCACAGATCCAATGGGCCGAATGGCCTCCTTCTGTGCTGTATAATTCTACGATTCTATGACAGTGTTTTCAACGCAAGCTATTTGGATGTGAAGTCACATAGGAATTAGAAATTATACTTGTAAAAAAATTTACCATTTTATCAACGAGATCTCATAGATTAAAAAAAGGTAAGTAGGGTCTCCTTGGAGTTCAAATGGCTCTAAGGTGACATGCTTAACAATAGATTGTTGGAATCCAGTCAATCATCTTGGTGGTCTTGGGCATCCATTTCCTGAGTCAAGTAGGACCGCAGTACTCCAGGGCACTGCTGATGGCAGCCCAACCTCCCGGCTTATCAGCAGGACTTGGAAGGGCGGACTGTTGGTTTCATCTGGGTAAACTGCAGCAGTACCCCAATGCACACTCTGGGTTCCCCAAACCGTGGCTCCTGACAACCTGCACATCATTCTCTCTGGAACTGGGTGTGTGTGGTGTGTTCTTTCAGGGCGAGAGTGCACATTCCATTCTACGTATGGGAATTTCCATCTGTTGGTGGTATGCGAAACTGTCTGCTTTGGATTCTCTTACGCATGGTGCTGGATTTCGGATGTGTCAGACACCCAGCTGAATCCCCCCCCCCCCCTCACCTCTGCCTTGCAAAAAAAAGATATTGTATCCGCATACTATTTAATATGTAAAGTGGAGTTGGTATAAATAAGTGGGCCTTTTGATTTAGCTTTGCTAGTCAGCTGAGTGGAGCAATCTGGCTTGAGAAAGAAATCTTTGAATAGATCTGATGCACTAAGCATTTTTATTTTACTTTCAAGGAGTGACTGTGCTTGAGAGGAATTTAGAAAGACCTGTTGTAGAAGAGGAATTTTTTCATTTTGCAGCAGTGATTTTTTTTTACAGGTCTACTGGATCTGGCTACTTCTTACTGTGAAAATCGACTGAAGAAGCTCTGTCAGCAGATAATTAAGAGGGGCATTGCTGAGGAGAATGCATTTTCGTTGCTGTCAGCAGCAGTCCGTTATGATGCTATGGTAAGGATTCATAAAGTTCACTTAAATCAGATATTAGTTTACACTTGAGTTATAGTTTTATTGTCAATACTGTTCACATATTATTCTGAAAATACTTATTTTGCAATCCTGTGCACCGAGATGTTCACCAATCTTGTATTGAAACAATAAAGTTAGAGCTTTAAAACTGAAAATACAGTATAAATATTAAGCTTTATGAATAGTATCTTGATTCTTTAAAATGCAAGATTGAAACTTTGTTTCAAATCCACCCCAAATGGTCTTCCACGGCCTTACTCCTTCCTACCTCTGTGACCTTCAGCATCTCTGCCCCCACTCTTTGGAACTCCATCCCACAGTCCCTTCGCCTTGCTCCATCCCTTGCTTTGGGTCTCAAGACCCTCCTCTTCGATCGCGCCTTTGAGCACCCTCCACCCCACTGATCCCAAACCCCTGTTCGGGTCCAATTCCCTGACTGTTCAGCGCCTTTTTGATGTCCTCCCAACTTGAAAGGCGCTATACAAATGTAATTTGTTGTTGTTAATACAATAGCAATATTGCAGTTCTAGAGACTCAAAAGTACAGCAATATTTAAAGCTAGCATTATAGGTAGAAGAAGCCAAATGGCAAAAGGAATATTTAGTTTTATACATGGAGAAATAAAGTACAAAAACAAGCAGGTAATAATGAATTTGTACAAGTTTCTTTATTATGTATGAATGTTTTCTGTACATGTTTTACTGTCTTCATGCACTGCAAAATATAGCATGACTATCAGTATATAATTACCTGAGAGGTCCTCAAAATGCCCAAATATTGGTTGTTCATTTTAACCTGATTTGATTTCTTCTTTCCAGAATACCTACCCTATTTTTTTNCCCATTACAGTATCAATGTATTTCTTAAGTATGTCTGATGTCCTAACCTCCGCGAGCCTTCACATTGTTGCACAAAGTCAAGAAGCAGTCATACATAATGTTAACAAGACGTTCCACTTGGACTTCCCAGTTTTTATGTTGGAATGTTTGAAGTCCCACCATTTGTACAAGATTTTTCAAACGGATGCTTCTGATGTAAAGTGCCAGGTCCTTCTTCCTACTTTGGCCAGGTGTTCTGAACTTCAATCTTTCCCATCTCCTGATTCTCATCGACCAGAACAACCCCCCATTCCAAATTTCATTTAAATGAATCCCAATTGCTGTTTTTAGGTTTTGTGCCAGCATCATAATTTCTCATCCAGTTAAGATTGAAAGTTATCTGGTTGAACTCCAGCAATACCCCTGCAATCTGGGATCGCCAAGCCTTGGCTCTCACTAATACCACTGGATTTGCACCCTTGCTTTAAACCTGCCCCTATATTCTTTGTTTAGCCCTTTAGACCTACTGTCCATATCATCTGTCCCCTCATGTAAAATCACAGCTTGATCCCATTCTTACTCATCTTATCAGTTCTACTATATACTTCAGCTTTGCCACAGGACATGATATACTATCGTATTCATCTTATCACTGGAAAACTCTCCATTGAGCTATTTACAATGATTTATTTATTTGGCTCCCTCCTGACTAACCAACTCCACTGTCTTTCTCCCAGATTGTATCATTGCTCACTTTGCTTATCTCATGTTAGGTGTTGTAATTTGCTTCTCACTTATTTTCCTTAGCCTCGGTCTTTTTCTACACTTCATCTTCATGTCAATTATGTATTTTGTATGTTTTAAGATGTTCCTAATAAATATTTTTTTTGTGCACATCTTTTAAGCAATAATTTTAGCTCTTCAACCTGTTTGCCATTTGGGGCATATATTCTTTGGAACAACTGTAAAGTGCCTCTCTTGGCCATAATCCTGAATGTGTACATCTTGCATTCTGTGCAGTTCAGTCCCCTTGATCTCATTTCTAATTAGTTTTCCTTCTTTACGTCTTAGTAAACAAGTGTTATTGTTGATTGAAAGTCTGCAAAATACATAACTTTCCTGCTGAAGGTTGACATTTTTGTCTCCTCACAATTGAATGTTGTGATGAGACAAAAACCTTAGGCAAGTTTACTTATTCTACATGACTCTGTTTACCTACCAGTATGTAAAAATCCAGTTGTTAAGTCGATTGGCGCATCACTTTCTGGAGGTAATGATCCTTTCAAAAATAATAATAATAATAATAATTTAGTCACTCAAGCCACAACTGTTTGTTGTGAGTAATTGGCTACTACGTTTCACCCACAAAATATAGTCAATTAACTTTACAGAATTCTGTGAAGTGCCTTGAGACGTTTCAATGATGTGGTGAAGCGCTATATCAAATGCAAAGATTATTATTAAGATGTGGCAAATTTGGGCAATACATAATTTGACAATAGTGCTTGATGATCTAATTTGCAATTAGCATATTTTTTTATTTACATGTATTTTTTATTATATTTTTCAATTTTTTTTGGTCTAGGATTTAGAAGAATTTTGCTTCAAATTTTGTGTGAATCATTTGACAGCAGTAACTAATACTGATGCTTTTTGGCAAATGGATGGCAATCTGCTGAAAGAATTCATCTCTAAAGCAAGTAAATGTGGAGCTTTCAGAAACTGAAGTCGCTGAATGGTTCCAATCGAATGCATGCATCACTGTAAATATCCAACCAGAATTGTATAATAGTTAGCCGGAATCTTGTATAACCAACCGAATGATAGTACTCCTTCCATGAAAAAAACGACACAAGCCCAACTGCATAAAGCCATGTTGGGATCAGTACATGTACAATTAAGGATAATACTCTATTCTTCTGAATATAAGGCAACCCTGATTATAAGGTGACCTTCTAATTGTTAGTTATATTGGAGAAAAAATAAAAAATGTTATATGGTAATTACTAGTGCAATCAAAAAACATTTCATGATATTGTAAAATAATATTGTGGCACTTAAAATTACTCTTATAACAGTGATAACATTTTCCAAATCGTAAAATGCCTCTATTTAGTATGTACCAGGCTGTCGTGATATCACATTATGCCAGCCCTTCTCTCTCTCTAAGTTTTTCTAGGTTTTTCTCTCTCTGTAATAATTTCTCTTTCCTCCCCCCCAACCCAACTTTCAGTCTTAATAAAAATGTACATCTGCACTACTGGCAAAATAAAATCCAGTTGTGCTTATTTGTGGTAATTGAAAAATTATTATACATGCAATGTTATTAGACTCATGATTGACTTGCACTGTGTGTGGAATCATTCTTAATAACTTTGGCACATATGAGAAATATTTTAATACTTGGACATGCAGGCAATTCGGTCCCTCTCCTCCCAATATTTAGCAGCCCCATGGCATCCTGTTTTTGGCTGATATGCAAATAGAATTTGAGCAGCATTCTTAAACTTTTTTATGGAAAGAACACCATGCCTTATATTCAGAACAAAATGCTTTATGAAAAGTTTAGTTTATTCATGTAAAATTGAGTGTCAATGTTGATTGTTAAAATTGCAGTAGAATGACTGCTGATTGTGGTTGCAGTTGCTTTCCTGGATGTAAAGAATTTCATATCAAGTTTCCTGTGCATAAAATAGATGAAATATTATAAGGATTGTATTGGGACTCCCATTATATTGAAAATATGTACAATATGATGTATTGTAAATGTGTACAATCTAACTTGTGCTAATTTATCATTGTTTACCTGGAAAAAATTGAATTCCTTTTCAGCAGCCTTATGGTAATAACTACATTGCGCTCTGAATTATGGAGATATGCGTAACTTTAGTAACTTGTGGCAAAGAAAAAAAAACCTCCATGGCATAGATATCAACTATAAATCTCACAATATAGAAAATTATATGGTGGAATTAGATTATTTCAGACATGCCTTATTGATGTCTAAACATCACTACATAACTCCAGAGGTATGTAATATTTTTGGAACTTCTCCATTACCGGATTGTAAAGTAGGAACGTAGTAAAGGTGCTTGTTCTTAACTTCATTTCCTGGGCAGGAAGTAACGTCAAGGCAAGCATCTTGACCGTGTGCCTCCTTAAAACATTGTCTCTTCATATCTGTGGATGTGCACCACACAAGGCAGGGCGAAACCTTGGGCAAGTTTTCTTATTCCACACGCCTCATAATAATCCCTTCAAAACAATAATAAATTGTTCATTTTCAATCCATGACTGTTTGTGGGACACTGCTGTGCACAATTGGCTGCCGCATTTCGCCCACAAATATACGGTCAATTCATTTTACAGTATATTCTGTGAAGTGCTTTGAGACGTCTAGAAGATGTGAAAAGCGCCATATCAAATGCAAGGATTATATTATTATTAATTACTATCTTTGCAATCTGCTCCAAAGTTATTACAGGATTCCTTACAAGTAATAATAATAATACAAGGATTATTATTATTATTATTATTAAGTAACTTGTTTATCCAGTCTGGCGTTGAACAGCTATTTGATGTAAGATTATTTTAAAACTCTTCTCTGATGGAATACATAGTGAGATTAGCTATTTAACATATAGATACTGAAAAACATTTTGGGTTCAAACCTGGGTTATACTGAATCAGATGATCTCAACTGTGGTGGCATCAAGGGCACTAATTCTCATTGGAAATGGAAATCAGCTTCTATCCATCAATAAGTAAGTAGGAACCTGGTTGTTAAATTGATTGGCGGATTGCTTTTCCGGAGGTAATAATCCCTTTTAAAAAATAATAATTTTGTCACTCAATCACAATTGTTTGTGGGACACTGCTGTGCGCAATATGGCTGCCACGTTTTGCCCACAGTACTGTAAATTCACTTTACAGTATAAGCACTTTGAGATCTCTCACTATATCAAATAGTGATCAGGCACTATATCAAATGCAAATATTATTATTATATTGGAACAGTATTTGGTGAGATCTGAATCGCTCAACGTCCTGCTGTTGGATGGTCAGCTAAAGACTTTTGTTGCCTCACACAGAATAAGCCCTTGGGATTATACCTGGGTAATAAGGAGAGCAAAACTGAGTCGAAAGCCTTTTATAGGAGGAAATTGAAGGAGTTTCATGTAAACTACCATGTGTTTTTATTTATTGAAAATCATCAATCACAATTTTCAAATCTCATTTAAACTGTAGTCATTATCTGTGAATTACATTTATATTTGTGTGCTTTTAATTATGATCGTATCTTTCTCAATATCAGTTTTTGTGAATTTATTTAGTTTATATTTTGTATTGTGGTGTTTCAGTTTGATTACATTAAACTTTATGAAAAAGAAATGCTTGCTTTTTGATCAGAAAATGCACAGATCATGCAAAGGTGAATACAGTATATTTATTGTGTGCCTTGGCTCTTGCCAATCTGCGCCTGATAGTTAGTCCCAGTTACTGATTTATTTAGGCTAGTAAGAAGCCCTGGATCATCTATGAGAAAGCACTTTGGTTATTTGGCTACCGAGCCAATCAATTTAATATTTCACTTAGTCTTCTACAAGACGCAGTATTATGTACAATCTACTGGAGCAACACACCAAACACCTTTCCAACCTCCATTATTCCATAAGAAAGAGCAGTTTTGTGATGGGAATACAATCGCCTTCCAAGTTCCCCTCCAAATTGCATTTGGGTTTATTTTTCCACTGTAACGTTTCGGCCACAGACATTCTGCAACTCAGAAGCAATTGTAAAAAGTCCTGACTTGGGACATTTTGCAATTGCTTCATTGTTGTTAGGACCAAACCCTAAAACACCTTCCACACAAGGACAATGTCTACTGCCACTCCTATCTCATCGGGGAAACGAGGGGTGGCAATGCCATCATTGCCAGTACACTGACCCGAAGTAAAATCTCAAAACAATCCAAATCTGCGTTGCTCAGCCATATTTCCCCCTTTTTTTCCCCTGTCCTCCAGTTGATTTAATACATCCGCGCGATAATGTTTCAGGACAGAAACAAAAGTCTGTGCAGGTATTTGTATCCACACGAGCCACCAGACCGACGTTGACGCTCCTGTTCCTTTAGCTTTCAACCTGTCACAGGTGTCCAAGTTGTGATCGTGCGTTGTGTCAAACGCAATGATTATCATTAATAACAATAAAACCCTTCTGTTCCCAAATCCATCTTAAAAACAAACCTCTGGTTGACTGCGCTCTCGGCTGCTCACAACACCCCCACAGCTCAGGTCCCCACTCTGTCTCTGAAAGGCACTCGGGGAGACTTTCTCCGATAGATATCCATAAAACGTGTCGTCTTGTCACCTCTCCAAAGGGTGTATTCGGTCAGCCCGCGCCGGTCACCGGGTTCAGGTCTCCCACAGCGGGCCCGGCCCGGCCCGGCCAGCCCTCCAGCCCGGCCCGGCCAGCCCTCCAGCCCGGCCCGGCCAGCCCTCCAGCCCGCCCGGCCAACCAGCCCGGCCCAGCCCAGCCAGCCAACCAGCCCAGCCCGGCCCGGCCCAGCCAGCCAACCATCCCGGCCTTGCCCGGCCCGGCCCAGCCAGCCCTCCAGCCCGCCCTGCCCAGCCCGGCCCGGCCAGCCAACCATCCCAGCCTTGCCCGGCCCAGCCCGGCCCGGCCAGCCAACCATCCCAGCCTTGCCCGGCCCGGCCCGGCCCGGCCAGCCAACCATCCCAGCCTTGCCCGGCCCAGCCCGGCCCCGGCCAGCCAACCATCCCAGCCTTGCCCGGCCCGGCCCGGCCCGGCCAGCCAACCATCCCGGCCTTGCCCGGCCCAGCCCGGCCCGGCCAGCCAACCATCCCGGCCTTGCCCGGCCCAACCAGCCCGCCCGGCCCCGGTCCAGCCCGGCCCAGCCGGCCGCTCTGTTACTAGGGAAGTGACGTACTGGGGATGACTCGCTGCCGGAAAAGGCGCGCGTTTCCCGCGGTTTGGTCCAGACTCCGCTCCGAGCTGTCGCCGTGTCCGGCCAGAGCTTCGGTTAGAGGTCAGACACCGGCCCCACCGGCACAGCCACAGCCACAGCGGGCCCTCGCCTCGCTATGCCACCCAAGAAGGCCTCGGCTTCCGACCCGGAGGAGAGGGTATCTCCAGCTGTGGGTGGTTCCCCCGGTGCCGCCGCTGTGGGAAGGTAAGAGCAGAGGCTCGGCACCGGGGTCTCACCCGAACTCGTAGCGGTTAAACAGTCGCCCCCCCCCCCCATGGAGAAGTGACATGTGGCAGGCGGGGGGTTACACTGTGCCCTGGCGGGGGGTTACACTGTGCCCTGGCGGGGGGGGGGGCGGGGGGTTACACTGTGCCCTGGCGGGGGGTGGGGGTTACACTGTGCCCTGGCGGGGGGGGGCGGGGGGTTACACTGTGCCCTGGCGGGGGGTGGGGGTTACACTGTGCCCTGGCGGGGGGGGCGGGGGGTTACACTGTGCCCTGGCGGGGGGGGGGGCGGGGGGTTACACTGTGCCCTGGCGGGGGGGGGGGCGGGGGGTTACACTGTGCCCTGGCGGGGGGGGCGGGGGGTTACACTGCCCTGGCGGGGGGGGGCGGGGGGTTACACTGTGCCCTGGCAGGCGGGGGGTGGGGGTTACACTGTGCCCTGGCGGGGGGGGGGGTTACGCTGTGCCCTGGCAGGCGGGGGGTGGGGGGGTTACACTGTGCCCTGGTAGGCGGGGGGTGGGGGGGGGGTTACGCTGTGCCCTGGCGGGGGTGGGGGTTACACTGTGCCCTGGCGGGGGTGGGGGTTACACTGTGCCCTGGCGGGGGGGGGGGTTACGCTGTGCCCTGGTAGGCGGGGGGTGGGGGGGGTTACACTGTGCCCTGGCAGGCGGGGGGGGGGCGGGGGGTTACACTGTGTCCTGGCAGGCGGGGGGTGGGGGGGGGGTTACACTGTGTCCTGGCAGGCGGGGGGTGGGGGGGTTACACTGTGCCCTGGCAGGCGGGGGGTGGGGGGCAGGGGTTACACTGTGCCCTGGAAGGCGGGGGGGGGTTACACTGTGCCCTGGCAGGCGGGGGGTGGGGGAGGTTACACTGTGCCCTGGCAGGCGGGGGGTGGGGGGGGGTTACGCTGTGTCCTGGCAGGCGGGGTGGGGGTTACACTGTGCCCTGGCAGCGGGGGGTGGGGGGGGGTTACACTGTGTCCTGGCAGGCGGGGGGGGGTTACACTGTGCCCTGGCAGGCGGGGGGTGGGGGAGGTTACACTGTGCCCTGGTAGGCGGGGGGTGGGGGGGGTTTACGCTGTGTCCTGGTAGGCGGGGGGTGGGGGGGGGTTACGCTGTGTCCTGGCAGGCACGGAGGGGGCGGGGGGTTGTTACGCTGCCTGTGGCTGGGGGAAGTTCTCGTCGTCGTCGTTGTTGTTGTTGTCCAGCGCCTTGGCAAGCCCTCTCGGCGTGAAAGCCGCCAAACAAGTGTCATTTTGTTCTTGTCGTTGTCTAGTTTTCCCGTCCGCGATGAAAGTGTCCTTTATTGGAACAACAGTTAAGGATTCTTCGCTGCTGTCTGTCTGACCGTTATGCTCTCAGCTTCTTGGCATTGTTTATCCTCAGGACGGTTTTATACAAACAAGTTGACATCAAAGGCAGACTGTGCCATATTGAAACTAAAAGCATTGGACTTGCCCCTGCAAATACTGTACTGTACGTTTGTCTGTCGTTGTTGTATTTTAGCTCCGAGTCCTCCGCTCCACCCTGGGCGGTCGTGCCTTCAGCCACATGCCCCGAGGCTCTGGAACTCCCTTCCTCACTCCGTTCACCTCACCCTCTCTCTTCCTATTTTCAGGTCTTGGTTGAGGACTTTTCTTTTTGACCACCCCTTTGGTCACCTTCCTCCCCCTCCCCCTGGCTCAGTCCAGGGATCTGTTACTGTAAAACGCTCTGAGAAGCCGTCCGGCGTGGAGGGCGCTATATAAATCCAAGTTGTTGTTGTTATTTTTCCTCTTCTAAGTGAGGAAAGGAATGACAAATGAAAGATGTGCTTGTTGATTCGCATCCTTTTTTTCCCTCTCTCCAAACCGTTCTGTTGTTTTTCTATCGGTTTAAACATTTTCCTTTACCCAATGTATAAAGATGTTGATAGGCCATATACTGTGCAAACATCTGAACCAATTCAAGCAGTACAAAAGCAACAGTGACCAACTCAAGCCGTCTTGTGAAGATTAAATTGGGACATTGGGATAAATGGATAATTTTAAATTTAGTTCTCACACATGGAGTCTTTATTAGATGTATCAGATTCAATCAGATTTCCGACTTTTCCTGCTTTCGGAGGTTAAGTTCCTAGCTAATGTTGCACAATAAAACTGCACATTTTGTTATGGTCATTTGTGGGAAATTTCTGGATTAATAATGTCAAATGTAATTAATTGTGAAAAGTTACCAATATGTTTTGTGGTAACTGCATATGCTATATGCTACCCTCTGGAACTCCTTCCCACAGCCCTTCCACCTCGCCCCTTCCCTTGCCTCCTTCAAGACCCGTCTCAAGACCCTCCTCTTCGACTGTGCATCTGGTCACCCTCCTCCCCCCCCCCCCCGCCCCCACTGTGCTCTCTGCACCCTCCCCGATCCCGACCCCCAACTTGGGTCTGAAACAGTGATCGTCCAGCACCTTGGAATGACCCCATGACGTGAAAGGCGCTATACAAATGTAATTTTGTTATTGTTTTTGATGATGTTTACATAAACACATGAATCTATTTATATAAACATCAATATATTGAAACAACTGTTGCCCATTTCAAAATGTTTGCCTCTTTAGAATAGAGTTCAAAGAAATGAACAGTCTATCTGAATATTTCACTGATATTTGGAATCCTGTTGTAACTAATAGATTTGTAATGATTTTTAAAATCTTTGGAAGATTCTGAATATAGGTTTTAGGGTATTACCTTAAGTTGAATTATTAGACCTGATATACGTCTGCCAAGTCTGTTACTGGGACTGGGTTTAGACTTGGTACTGGTGATTTTAATATGAGTGTGTGTGCGTGTGTGTGTGTAAGATGTCGTGCAGAAATATTATAATAATAATAATCCTTGCATTTGATATAGCGCTTTTCACGTCAGGAGGACGTCCCAAAGCGCTTCACAGAACACACTGTAAAGTGAATTGACTGTATATTTGTGGGCGAACGCGGCAGCCAATTGCGCACAGCAATGTCCCACAAACAGTCGTAGATTGAAAATGACCAATTTAATTATTGTTTTTGGTTTTTTGGAGGGATTATTATTGGGAGGAATCTAGTATTTGCTTTGTAAAGGTAGCAAAGATATCACAACATTTAGTATAATATAAGAACATAAGAAGCAGGAGTAGGCCATTTGGCCCCTTGAGCCTGCCCCGCCATTTAATAAGATCATGGCTGATTTAACCTATTCCATTTACCTGCCCTATCCCCATATCCCTTAATCCCTTTAGTTTTTTTAAAAAAATTGATGAGATTTAAACAAATCTGAGTTATTTTTGGGGGGGGGGAGGGCCTTTGGATGCAAGAAAATAGAACAACATTGTTGACTATGATAGTGCAGTATTTTCACTTCTCATATTTTAATAAAAGTATAGCAGTATCTTGTGCTTCTTTTTGGAAAAAAACATTTTGTGGGTGAGCAGGAAATACCCTTACTATTCTTGAAAATCTGAAGTTCAACTCCACTACCCAGTCTAGAACTGACAAACTATCTCAGATAGTTTTCTACTACTGGGGTGTGTTGTTCCTTAGGAAAACTGCATGACTCATTTTCCTATACACACAAAAATAAGTGGTGATTTAAAAAGCAAGGTATTTTAAAAAAATATTAAGGATCACATTTTCACACTACTGGACTTGAACAGCAAAAACACACTGCAGTAATTACCAATATGAGGTAAGCTTGCTGGTGCTTGTTCTGATATGGCACCCTACCTATTAGTAGGAAATCGGTGTGCAGTGTTGTTACTTTACATTTTATGTTACCTGGATGTAAGAGAATTCCCAGAAAGAAACTTGGCTTTGGATCCTACAATCTTATGACTATATTTTTAGGGTTATTACAGATTGTGCAGTGTTCCAAATGATGACAAGTTAAAGGAAGCATTGTCTATTTAATTATTTGTTCTTTGATATTTTCAGAAATGACCACAAATATACAGACTTTATCTTGTTATGTCAAAGTCTTATGGTGGAAGAGAATGTAATCGAGAGGGCTTGGCGGATCTGGGAGTCGGTGTCGACCTTTTTGGATGAGGCCTTTGCACCAGTATGTATTCTAATTTGCTCAATTAATGCTGTACTATAAGTGACTTGCACAGATTCATGAAAATGTACAATGTTTCATTAAGAGAGATAATTTTTTTATAGCTATTTATAATTTTTCAAACATTAAAAACAGAATAATTTTAATAGAAGACCGATATTGCATAATATATTGTATATTAAAGTTATCAGGAGAAAGTGTAGAGGTTTGCATAAATTGATCATAACAAATGTATCATTTAATCACTTATAAAATTAAAAATGTAAGGACATCACTAGCTAAATCTGGGGAAAGTATTAAATTCTGGAGAAAATAATAATACGTAAAACACTTTCAAAATACATATTTTGACAGTCAAGAAGTCTCAGTGATTGCTAAAACAGGTGGGCAAAAGAGTAGGTTACTATAGAAACGAGGTTTGAGGGAGAAGTGGAAGAAAAGACAGAATTCAGACTAACGAGGAACATTTTCATGGCTATAAGAGCAGCTTATTTTTATTAAAGGGAATGTGATACGAGGTCTGACCATATTTAGGTCACATCTGTTATCTGTAATTACTTCCTCAACCACTACTTCAAAGTTCCTAGCAATAAGCATTGCCATTCCCAACCATTTAGAGGAGGAATGGGAATAGAGAAGGACCTGTCATGACCAGCCAGAGAAGTGCTAAGTCACTCATGTTTTCCAATGGTTTCACTTCCTGCACCCTCACAGTCTTGTCCTCACACAACCAGCCTTTACCCAGGGCTAGTATTAATAAAGATGTTGCAAATAAGACAATGAGGTAGATAATGGGAATACACTAATAGTAATAGTAGTAGTAGTAATATTAATCATCCTTGCATTTGATTTAGCGCCTTATGGGTCTTTCAGAGGGCCAGCACAGACACGACAAGTTGTGAATTTGTATAGTTGTATAACTAGAAAGATGAGGAAAGAACTACGGGAAGAAGAAAAATGGTGATAAAAGTAGAAGGTGAGAGACAGGTGAAATAAAGGAAGACAAAGTTTTTAAAAAATCAGGTTTAATTAAAATCCTAGAGCAATTTAGCAGCTGAAATTTATATACATAGACTATTCCCACAAAAGCAACGTCTAGCATATTTGGCCTCTTGCACTCACTGGACTGTCACAATACTCTTGTTTTGCTGCAGTCACTTCATCGAGGAGGGAGAGAGACTTCTGTTGCAGTGCTTTGAATACTCATGCTGCTTGATTTGCCACAAGTTTGTCCATTGCTGCAACTTGATAAAGGCTGCAACACTACCCGTGTGAAGGGTACTGTATAAATGCATGTGGCAGTAGTCGTAGTAATGGTAGTGGTTGTGGTTTTGTGACAAAGGCCTTTAAGGAGGCGTTTTCAGCTCTTTCCAAACCTTCAATAATGTAGAGGTTTATTTTGCCTGTTATCCAGGTCATCCACCCTGCCTAACAAAAATGCCACTTTTTCTTACGGGAACAAGTCCAGCATTTTCATCACTGATCCTTGTCTTCCAGATTTTTCTGTAATGCTTCTTTCACCTCATTTGTTTAAGCAGTGTATGTGGCTGTACTAGCAGCTGTTTTTCTTAGTTCTGTCAAAATAGTGGCTGGTATCATTTGTTCTGCAGTTGGCACACTGCAACTCTTCCTCACTTGTTGGAAGTGAAACTGTAAGAGGTGAATTGAGTGCATGTCTGTTTTCTGTATATTATTATTAATGTTACTACTAATAAATTCTTGAATTTCATATAGAGCCATTTGCGACTGGAGAGATTCTCAAGCTCTTCACAGGATTTACAGTAAAGTGTAGTGACTGTATTTTGTAGCTGAGCATACCTTGTGACAGTCTAAGATCCCCATAGTAGAAAGCCAGGATTATATTACCTGTGTCAATCACATTTTCTCAATGTATTCATAATACAGAACATAGTGGGTGGGTGGTAGGTAAAGAAAAATGTGTATTATGCAGGTAAATTTTTGAGAATAGATATTTTTATTTCCGCCTCTCCCAAAAGTCAGACCAGCTCAGTTGGTAGCACTCTCGCCTAGGAGGCGGAAGGTTGTGGGTTTAAACCCAGGATTGGGAATGGAAATTGTATAGTCTATGCTGAAACTCCAGTAGTGTGCTGGTCTTTTGCTGCATCGTGTTGTCCTTTGGGTGAGGCAGTAAACCACCTTTGGGTGAGGCGGTAAACCACCTTTGGGTGAGGCGGTAATCCTGCCTGTCCAGGATCCCACGGTACTGTTTGGAAAGAGAAGGGAGTTTCTTCCAGTGTCCTGGCCAACAATCCCTAAAATAAAATTGGTCACTTGCTCCATCGCTGTTTGTGGGTCATTGTGTGAACAAGTTGCTGCGTTTACCTACAAAATACACATTCACTCCACTTTACACTGTAAAGTGAAATTGTTTGAGACACCACAACAGACGCTATACAAAGTGCAACTGATGAGAAAATGACTCAGAGGGGACCTTATAGAGCTGTGCAAAATTTATATATAAATCTAGTAAACCCAGAACAATATTTTAGGATGCACCAAGATAGTAAAACAAGAGGACATAGATTTAAAGTTGCAAAAGACAATTTTAGGACAGATACCAGGAAGTTTTTCTTTACCCAGAAGGTAATTAAGACTGGAAGGGTGATTGCTGCCAGGATACTGGACTCATTTGAAAAGCAGCACAATCGGATGATGATCGGGTGGGTGTTCTGTAGGATTGAGATCAAATGGGCTGAAGGGCCTTCCTCATCCAAACTAATCTTGTGATCTTGTCACCATCTTATGGCTAGCCGTGGTCCATCTCATCTCTTTCCTCTTGGTCCAGTCCATGCTCGTTTGGTTTGCAGCCAGCAGTACAGGGAATGCCTGCCACCAAACCCAACCCACAGAATTGCTGAGAAAGAATTTAAAACTGGTTACTGTCATCCAGGATGAAGAAACAAAGGGGAAAAGTGTCAGTTGAAACTTCGATCTTAATTAATATGCAGGTCCTTTAATGTTGTTGACTGTCAATAACTTTATTAATTAACATGCATGTCAGTAAATTAGGAATTGCAATAATTGATCAAGGCGTGTCTGAAACTGCTGAGCTCTGAGGAAAAAAAACTTGAAAATATAGTGACTGAAATGGCAAAAGGAAGAGAGATTTTGAACTCATGGTTAGAGAACCAGTAAATGAGTAATTTACCAAGAGCTATGGTGAATGGTACTGTGTTTCATCTTTCATCTGCAGTGAAACTTACTGTGCTTGCTTTCTTGTGAAGATATTGAACTTATTATTTTTTCAGTAATACCTTGCATGATGTTTGTGCTTTTAAGTGAAAGGAATTTCTACGAATGCAAAGCATGGTCTTTTATTTGTCACTCATGAACGGAACCAGAGTTTTTCAAATCTAAACCCAAATTTGTGTTTATTCTATCCTATGCTACGGGGTTACGCTGATTCAAATAAAATAGTTCAGACCATGTCGTGTAGTGTGGAGCTGGCATCTAACAAAGCTCAGCAGTTAATACTGGCTGAGAATTTATGAGATACTAGAGATCCTGATTTGTGAAGGCCCCAATCTGTATTCTGTATTTGAGCATGTACAGACACCACAAGATGCCCAAATCTAATACCTTTGAGTCCCCAGTCCAATATATGATTTGGTCTATACTCGCAGCCAAATGTAAATTACAGTTTTAGAAGAGACTTGATTCATTCTGACAAGAATTGTACATTTGTTCCATTCTTGAGACCTATTTTCTTCAGCTTCCTTACTTATTCATTGTTCGATTAAAGTCTTGGATACAGGTTTGTGTGTTTTAAAAAAAACAAAAAAAAACACAGGATGAAGTTAATAGGAACATAGGAATTAGGAGCAGGAGTAGGCCATTCGGCCCCTCAAGCTTGTCCTGCCATTCAATAAGATCATGGCTGATCTTCTAACCTAACTCCATCTGCCCGCCTTATCCCCATATCCCTTAGTCCCTCTATCCTTTAAAGACTGAGCATCTACAGCCTTCTGGGGTAGAGAATTCCATAGATTCACTACCCTCTGAGTGAAGAAGTGTTTCCTCAACTCTGTTCCAAAGGGCTGTCCCTTAATCTTAAGACTGCGACCCCTAGTTCTAGATTGTTCTACCAGGGGAAACACTCACACTGTCTACGCTGTCAAGCCCCATAAGAATCTTATATGTTTCTATAAGATCACCCTAATTCTTCTATATTCTAGAGAATATAGACCTAGTTTACTTAACCTATCCTCATAGGTCAACCCCCTCATCCCAGGAACTGACCTCGTGACTCTACGCTGCACCCCCTCTAAGGCGAGTATGTCCTTTCTTAAATAAGGAGACCAAAACTGCACACAGTATTCTAGGTGGGGTCTCACCAAGGCCCTATAGAGTTGCAGCAAAACTTCTCTATTCTTGCATTCTAACCCTTTTGGAGTAAACTCCAATATGCCATGAGCCTTCCTGGTTGCTTGCTGTACCTGCATACTAACTTTTTGTGACTGGTGGACAAGGACACCCAAATCCCTCTGAACACTAACACTATCTAGTCTCTCCCACTCTAGAAAATAATCTGCTTTTCTGTTTTTACTACCTAGGTGAATAACTTCACACATTATATTCCATCTGCCACCTTCTTCCCTACTCATCTAGCCATCTATATCCCTTTGCAATCTTTTTGTGTCATCCTCAGAGATTACTCGGTGAATTTAGATACTTTAAGTTCTATGTCCTCGTCTTGATCATTGATATAGATTGTAAATAGCTGAGGCCCAAGCACTGATCTTTGTGGCACTCCACTAGTCACATTCCACCAATCTGAGAAGGACCCTTTTATCCCTACTCTCTGTTTTCTTCCCATTAGCCACTCCTCAATCCATGCTAATATATTGCCTTTCATCTCGTGTAGCAGCCTTTTATGTGGCACTTTGTCGAATGCCTTCTGAAAATCTAAATATTACTACATCTACTGGTTCCCCCCTATCTAACCTGCTAGTTACATCCTCAAAAAACTCTAAAAGATTTGTTAACCATGACTTCCCTTTTGTAAAGCCATGTTTACTTTGTCTAATCTTGTTATGGTCTTCTGAGTACCCCACTACGACATCCCTAATTAAGGATTCCAGAATTTTCCCTACCACCGATGTCAGATTGACTGGTCTATAGATCCCCATCTTCTCTCTCCCACCCTTCTTAAATAGTGGTGTGACGTTTGCGATCTTCCAATCAATGGGAACCGTTCCAGAATCCAGAGAATTTTGGAAGATCAAAAACAAGGCCTCCACTATCTCAGCAGCCGCCTCTTTTAAAACCCTAGGATGCAGGCCATCAGGTCCAGGGGATTTGTCACTTTTCAATCCTAACAGTTTCCCTGGTACTAATTCTTTACTGATGTGAATTTCCCTAAGTTGCTCACTAACATTAGCTTTTTGGTTCCCTTCTATTTTTGATAAGTTTTCCGTGTCTTCTAACATGAAGACAGAAGCAAAGTATTTGTTTAATGACTCTGCCATATCTTTATCCCCTGTTATAATTCCTCCTGTCTCTGCCCGTAATGGACTCACATTCACTTTTGATAATCTCTTCCTCTTTATGTATTTGTAAAAACTATTGCAGTCTGTCTTTATGTTCCTAGCTAGTTTGCCCTCATAATCCATTTTCTCCCTCCTGATCAGTTTCTTAGTTTTTCTGTGTTGGTCTCTGAAGCCCTCCCAATCCTCGGGTTTACTGCTCTTTTTGGCAGTATTGTAGATCTCTTCTTTTAATTTTATACTTTCCCTAACTGCTCTAGTTAGCCATGGTTGAACCACTTTTCCCGTAGCATTTTTATTCCTCAAGGGAATATGTGATCCCTGGGAATTATGTACTATGTCTTTAAAGGTTTGCCATTGCTGGTCTACTGTCATATCCTTTCATCTATTTCCCCCTTCTATTTTAGCTAAATCCTCTCTCGTACCTGCAGAGTTGGCTCTATTTAAATTTAAGATCCTTGCTTTGGACTTAACTATATCACTCTCTAACAATGCTAAATTCCATCATGTTATGGTCACTCTGCCCTGGAGGAGCCTTAACTTCCAGACTGCTGATTAGCTCTATTTCATTACGTAAAACAAGATCTAGGATCGCCTGTTCCCTGGTTGGTTCCTCAGCAAACTGATCTAGAAAACTATCTCTAATGCATTCTATAAACTCCTCCTCTAACTTACTTTTGCCAATTTAGTTTTCCCAATCTGTATGAAGATTAAAATCAGCCACTATTAGTGTATTTCATTTGCTACATGCTTCTTTATTTTCCTGTTAATACTCTGCGCAATATTAATTTTTAGTATCAGTTAATATTTAATAAATGTGAACTCTGGGGTTCATTGTTGTATTCATTTATTTCAGGATGTGATCAGGAAGCATTGGGGTATTTGTATCTTTATTGCATCCGTAGATCTGGATACAGTTTCCTTCACTTTGACAGAATTACAGAAGAAGTTGGATATGAGGTATGTTTATACAGCATGACGGGTATGATTCTAGGTCAATGAAATGCAAAAGTACTTTCAGCTATACTGTGTACTATATGTGCAGTCAGGCCTATGGCATACATTTCCTTTTGGCACAATAATTAAGTTTTCAGGTATAGTACGTGGGAATAGTCCATTCAGCGCATCAATCCGCCTTTTTAGATTATGGCAGATCTTTTAATTTATCTTCCTTGTCTTTACTCCATGTCTCTTGGTAGCCTCTCATGTCTGTTGATCTCTGTCTATCTCTGCCTCTTTCCTTGTTTCCCTCTCCCTTCTCCCCTTCCCCCCACCCCCGGCCCTCTCTCTCTCTCCATCTCTGTCTCTCTCTGTTCCTTCTCTATCTCTGGCTTCCTGCTTCTTTTTCTCTTTCTCTCTCTATTTGCTTGAGCCTTTCGCATGGTTGGTTTCTAGCATGACTACAGCACTGACGCAGCCTTCTGCAAAGTCATAAATTATATATTCTCCCTCAAGAGACAAGGGCTCCCTGTGCTTCTCGTCCTCCTCAACCTTCCTGCTGCCTTCAACACCCCTTATCTGCCTCGATCACCTCTCTAATCTATCTCCGTGGGACCAAATTTTCCTGGTTCCAATCCTATTTCACCCATCCCCTTATTTCTTCAGATGGCTTCTCTTCTTGTACTGTCACCTGTAGTGCACCTCATGGTTCTTCCTTTAGTTCCCTCCTTTTCTTAATGACATGCTTCCCCTTGGTGACATTATTGCAAACATGGAGATCTCATTCGGAGTACTGTGTTCAGTTTGCTTACAAATCACACAGTCACTGCACTTTACAGTAACTCCAGTGAAGCACTTTGAGACTTTCTCCTGATGTGAAATGTGCTAATTTTTTAAGGATTATTAATAAACAATAATGGTTTTCCATTTAGAGCATACTCTCAAGCACTATTCCTTCACCTGATATTTACTTACCTCATACGTGGTACCGTTACTTGCTATAGTTCTGCTCACTTGCTTAATCTATTTATGTCTCTGTGGTTTTATCTGTCCTCTTCACAATTTACAACTGCCAGTGTATTGTCGTATGTGAATTTAGAGGTGCTTTATTCCCGTATCCAAGTCATTGTGATATGTTGTGTGAAATGCTGAGGCCCCAGCACAGGTGACTGGGGGTTGCCCTTTGTCACTGCCTGCCAGTTAGAAGACTTGGAATATATTTTGCATTTATACAGCATCGTTCATGCCTGGACGGTGTCCTAAAGCGCTTTCACAGTGGATGGGCACCCGAAGTTGGGTTGGGAGCTGAGTGGGGTGGAGAGTGGAAGGAAAACTGAAAGCGCCGTCAAATTTTGAGACAATCTTTGAGAAAGGGGGAGGTAGAAAACATGGAGGGACTCCGGGATGGAGATCTAGAGAGTGCGACAGAATAGCTGAGTGACTGCCTGCCAATGGTGAGGTGGATAGAGGGACAATGATGATATTGGTAGATGTGTTAATTCCAAAAAATTCTAAAGATATTATAGTAAACTTTTTGTTTCTTCCCACTTCTCCCAGTTTGGCTGACTTTCTTCAGTCGTTGAAGAGAGTTGATGTGAACGTGGACACTGTAAGCACTAAAGTAAATTCAGTGGTGGAAAAGCTGGAAACGAAGTACTTTGTTTTTTCTGTGCTCTATAACAAATTTGAAAGGTATTTTTTTTAAAGTGTTTTTTTGTGTTTCATTTCTTGAGTTAAGTCTGCACTGATAAGTATGAATGCACCAGATCAGTGCTGGCTATTTTGCAGATGGTGTGTGGTTTGAAAATTCCAGTTGACATTCAGAACAACAGCAACAACAAAATTACATTTATAGAGTGCCTTTCACGTTGGGAGGATGTCCCAAGGCGCAGTATGGGGGATGAGTGGGGTAGGGGTGAGGAAAGGCAGAGAGGTGGGAAGGTGACTGAAGCCACGATCAAAGAGGAGGATCTTGAGACCGGCCTTGAAGGAGGCAAGGGAGGAAGCGAGACGAAGGAACTGTGGGAGGAAGTTCCAGAGTGTGGGGGCAGAGAGGCTGAAAGCCCGGCCTCCGATGATAGATAGGGTGGTTCGGGCGGGAGACATGGAGCAGGCCGGAGCCCGCTAGATGGAGGGAGCGGGCAGGTTGGTAGGGAGTCAGCAGATCAGAGAGGTAGGAGGGCACAAGGCCATGGATGGTCTTGAAAGTGAGGACGAGGATCTTGAACTCTATCCTCTGAGGGATGGGGAGCCAGTGGAGTCGGGCGAGGGTGGGAGTGATGGGGTTACGGAGCACGGTGCGCGAGAGTACACGAACTGCAGAGTTTTGGATGATCTGCAGCTTGTGAAAGCTTATTACAGTAATCAATATATCAAATATTTGAATCCAAATTTCACCATATAGATCACTACATTATTTCTGATAATACAACTTACGCAGTATTCCTTCTTAAAAAAATTGTATAAAATAAGTATTTGTTGTTTTTCATTCTCACTTTTTTAAGCGTTATTAATTTAAAAAATATACTTCCAAAATGTATGAAATTGATTATTTTTTATTACTAGGACATGTGAAAAAATATTTGAGGAGGCGCCACAAAACAAGTAAGAATCTTAGTTTACAAATCAGTGATTTTACCTTAAACATTTAGGATGATTTGTGACCTTTTTCTTAATTATGTCAAGCAGAGACTCATCAGAAATTAATTCAAAATCGATGTTGAAAATCTGTTGGATCACCTTTCTACTGGCAGCAGGTTTGTTTTTATATCAAAATATGTTTTTTAAAAGTGAAGATAATTTGATATTCATTAGGAAATTAATTTATCATAGCTGATTTACAAGCATTTATTTGCTAAAACTTGTCCTGGAGAAATTCAGAATGTAATGCATTTGTTCACCACTAGAGGATCTCATGACATCAATTCATGTATTTCAATTCTTTAAAAAAGATCAACCATTTAAATATTTGCATTGGTATTGCTTCACTTCTGATTTCAGGAAAGGCACTGCAGATGGAAGATAACCTAGTCCTCTCTTTCCAATTGTTACTTTGCGTCTTGGAGCACTTTATCAAGTTTTCACCTCCTTCGATGCTAAAGGAGCCTTACAGTAGGTTTTATAAGTTAGCATTGGAATTTTTTTTAAAAAAATCACCTTCAATAATACACAGAAAGTTTCAATTAACTTTTAAACTTTATTACAACAACAACTTGGATTTATATAGCGCCCTCCATGCCGGACAGCGTCTCAGAGCGCTTCACAGTAACGGATCCCGGGGCCGAGCCGAGGGAGGGGGAGGAGGGTGACCAAAGGCGCGGTCGAAAAGAAACGTTAATACTGTGTGCAGAGTATCCCTGCTTAATCACTTGTGTCTCTTGTGATTTTGTGTAAATGAAAGAAATACAGTGGGAAAATATGCTTATAGAAGAGGAGGAAATCTATCCCTGGGAACTCGGAATTCTGAAACTGTTTATTGTGTCAAAAAGTATTTGTACCTCGACTTGTTTGTATTCTATTCAGAGACTGCTGTGAGTTCTCTAAATTCCATTACCCCATCACGACCTTTAAGACGAAGTCAGAGCAAGGCTATCCAAGCAATTGTTTCACCTGATGTGGATCCTAAGGTTGTGGAAATCCTTTGTAAGGAAAATGAATGTAACGTTGATGAGGTGGGTTAATCGTCAAATAAGATTGAAAATGAATGACAATCCGTGTTTATGTAAAACTGAAAAATCTTACATAGCTTACAAATTGAGTAAACCAATTATTATAATTACAAGTGTTAATTTAATAGCCTGGAACAGACACATTTGTGCTTTTAAGAAAATAGTGTAGAGGAAATATTTGATTAAGTACTCATGTTAGTTATCGAGATTGTAAACAAAGAAAGGAATACAACTTAAAACATTTGCACCAAGAATTTTAAGTGTTGATGTGCAGGTTTTTTCATGTGAAATTCTTTGAGGCAAGCCACCAGGAGAGTCTTAAGCATATGTTGTATTTTAAACTACACAGTAATAAAAGGATAAAAAGAATATTACAATGCATTAAGATACCAGCCTTGGTTTAACTTTCCATACAGTTTACCAGCTATTTAGATACCACAGGGTTCTACAATAAAAATATTGTTAAGATAAGAATTATAACTCGTAGAGTGTTACAACAACATTTGGCCCATCAAGTCTGCGCTGGTGTTTTTATCCACATAAACCGCCTATTTAAATAGTAATAAAATTTGCATTTGATATTGCATCTTATCACATCATCAAGATGTCTCAAAGCATATCACAAAATATACTGTAAAGTGGTGCGACTGTATTTTGTGTGTCAACATGGTAACCAATTTGCAGAAGGGTCTGACACGAGAAATGAGTGTACTTCTCAGATAATACTTTTCAAAATTATTATGGCAGTATCTTTAGATTGTTCTGATATGAATATATGAATTCATATGAATGCTTCATTTTTCTTTAGGTGAAAAACATTTATATTAGGACTTTTCTTCCTTTTATGGATACAATTAAAATATCTGCTTCTAATGCGATTCCTGAGGTAAGCAACTAAAATGTACTTCTTTCTTCCCGAAGTGCTATTAATTAATCTAAAATGAGGCCCTTTACTCTCCACATTCACGTCTCAGCTATCCATCTTGGGTCTGATGCTACAGCTTTGTAGGCCTCTGCATAAATATGTCTTATGTTATACATATATATATATATTATGTTATCGTATTAATCAATAAGACTGAGTAGTGCAGTTAGAGAACTTGTCATTAGAATCTTTTCCACCACTGTATTTTTGGTGACTTTTGCAGTGCTATAGGTGTTGCAATATTGAATAGAGCTATAATGAGGTTCCCTACAATACCAAGAATGGCTTCCTATATTACAGCCTGAGGGTAGTCAGGGAAGAAGATACAATGTAAATGTATTAAAAAAGCACAAAAAAATGTCATTCAACACATACATGTCTTGTGTTGAAACATTGACATTAGTGAGGCAGGGATTCTAGGTAAGTTGAAGCATCTGAAAAGCAATGCCTCCCACAGGACAAATGAACCTTATCACAGGGAACATTGAGAGCTAAGGGAGCATGCTGCATTTTTTATGTTGAGCCTGGAACATTCTAATTGTATGAATGCATTGATGTTTTGGGCTTTGTGTAAATCAAAACATTAAAACACCATTCTTGATTTAATTGCTACTTGTACAGCTTGAAGAAGTGTCAAGAAAATATGAAGCACTTTACCTTAGAAACAAAGACTTTGATGGAAGATTGTTCCTTGAACATGACAAAACTCTGGAGGCAGACCAAGAAGAAGGGTATTTCTATTTTAAGAATTGCTTGTGTGTGTACTTTGTTTTTAATGACCTCCTTCTCAGTGCATACAAAATATTGAATTCCCCATTGGAGAGTGGCCAGGCAATTTGCTTTGTCTGTATTTCGGGTGAGAAGAAAGATGACGCAACCAATTGTTCTTTTAAACAAAAGTAAACATCAGTGCCTTTGAGAAATACCTTGCCTCAACGCGGCACTTGGCCTTAATGGCACAGTTTAGGCATTTAGAGTTGAAATGTAGAAATGGTACAACGGTGTAAGTTGTTCATTCAAAGCATCATCCGCACACTACTGAGAATGAGTCAGTACCAATATTGCTTGTCAAGTGACTATTGCTGAAAGGGACAACTTCCTCTTAAGTGGCTTAGAAAGTATAGCAGAGGAGGCCATTGAGCCTATGCTCGTGCAGTTCTTCGACTGGTGAATTACTATCGTTCCATTTTTCTGTTCCTTTTTTGTATTCTTCATTTCCAATTGTTTCTAACAATTTTCTGTGTAAAATAAATTTATTCTAGGTTTTCATTGACAATCCTGAGTTTATGTCCCCCCTAATTTCATCCATGCTACCATACTTTTAGTACCATGCACCTTAATATGATCATCCAGTTTCCAATGAAGTAACCTTCCCTTTAAAAATTAACCTGAATGTATTTAGTGTAGGTGCTCGCCAGAGACTGTGATTCACTTTCAAGTGTTGGACTTGTTTGCAGTTTTTCAACTCAAAAGGTGCTGGATACAGGCATTGTGGAGTCCTGTAGCTCAGTGGTTAGAGCACTCGCTTTGCAAGTGAGAGACCTGAGTTCAATTCCAGGCAGAGGGCAAAACCTTGGGAAAGTTTCCTTACTCCACACACCTAATAATAATCCCTCCAAAACCAAAAACAATAATAAATTGGGCATTTTCAATCTACGACTGTTTGTGGGACATTGCTGTGCGCAATTGGCTGCCGCGTTCGCCCACAAATATACAGTCAATTCACTTTACAGTGTATTCTGTGAAGCGATTTGGGACGTCCTCCCGACGTGAAAAGTGCTATATCAAATGCAAGGATTATTATTATTATTACTTGTAAGAAACAAAACCTAGCATGCAATGCACTAGCTCTAACATGTCCCTTGCTTTTGGCACCACTTTCAAGTGCAACCACACCTAATGTGAAATTTGCACCATCATCCGTCCTGCAGCCTGAATCTGTGTTGATGCTGATGGCTGATTGCCAGAGGGACTGATCACTCCTTCACAGCACCTCAGGCAAAGTTCACTGCCTCGCTGCTTACTTCATGGGCATAGTTGAAACCAGTATCCTTTGATGCCACTTCTACATAGAGTAATCCTCATACATTGACTAAACACCACCCCCAGTGCCTTCGCCTTGCTTCCTCCCTCTCCTCCTTCAAGGCCGGTCTCAAAACCTTTCTCTTTGACTGAGCCTTCAGCTCCCCTCTCGACTCTCTTCCCCCTTCTCGCTCCCTCCCATCCCTCCCCTCACCCTGACCATTTCCCCCCTCCTCGCTCCCTCCCCTCCCCCTGACCATTTCCCCCCTGCTCGGGTCATGACCCAACTGTGCAGCGCCTTGGGACGTCCTCCTGACGTGAAAGGCGCTTTATAAATGGAATCTTGTTGTGTTGTTGTTGTTGTTGTTGTGTTGTTTAGCAGCCTTAAATGATGTACACCTCAGTAAATTTATCCTGTTCGCTAGTAATGTCTACTCTACTGACATCTGAAGTTGACATTACACTGATATCTTCATATATATGTCTCCTTATACAGAGAGAGAGACAGTTTGATGTTTTGGCCTTTTAGTAACTTTTATTCTTTATTCCAAGTAAGTGGTACTGGTGGTTATCCAGTAGTGTGTGGAATATATATTAGGAATATATTGTCAAGTTTTGTTTGGCATTTATAGTTAGTGTTTTTTTTTAAAAAAAACTTTATAAATGTTTGTTGGTAGCTTCTTTCTGTGTATTTGAAGAAAGAACAGGAACTTGTCCCTTTTCAAGCTTTATATTTGTAAAATATTCCATTCAAATAGAACATCCCCAAACAGTGCTGATATGAATTAATAATGACCCATATTGAACTGTTTTTTCATACAGCTCTGGAGCGGAAAGAACGCCCAAGAAAATTGACAATAAAGACAGTCATTTGATTGTCCCACCACAGACTCCTGTTAGGTAACTCAACATTAATTTCCTATTTACTGTTGTGTATTTGAATTTCATCACCAAATGTTGCTTGTTTGAAGTTACAATACCTCAACAAACATTAATCCAAAAAGTTCATCTATGCACTAGTTATTCTCTATCTCATAGAACTTCTGGCTTTCTTTAAAAAAAAAGTCTTACATCAACCCAGCAGCCATTTAATAATTTACATAGCTGTTGAGTTTCTTCCTGATTTCCTTCATTTTTTCAGTTGTCTTTTAGGGTAAATAATCTTGTATATCTTACAGTTTAGCGTACAGGAGCTGGCAAGAATATAATGCACCAAGCCCTTTGATATAGACTATTTGAGACGTCTCAAAGCACTTCACAGAATATACAGTAAAGTGAATCAACTATAGTGCCCTTCATGTCGGGAGGGCATCCCAAGGCGCTGGACAGTCAGGGATATGGACCTGAGCAGGGTGTTGAGATCAGGGAGGGTAGGAGTGTGGCGAAAGGCGTGGTTGAAGAGAAGAGTTAACACTCAGTTTAAATACATTATAAAATTATATTTGTATAGTACCTTTCATGTTGGGAGGTCGTCCCAAGGTGCTGGAGCATCCGGGATTTAGACCTGAGCCGGGGGTGGTGGGGGGGGGGCGGGGCGGGTTGGAACCAGGGAGAGTAGCCAAAGAGGAGGGCCTTGAGACATGCCTTGAAGGAGGCAAAGGGAGGGAGCGAAGGGAATATGGGGTGGAGTTCCAAAGAGTGGGGGCAGAGAAATTGAAGGCCCGACTGCTGATGGTAGGGTGGCCCTGGCGGGGGACGGGGATCAGGCTGGAGCCTGCTGAACGAAGGGAGCGGACAGGTTGATATGGGGTGAGCAGGTCACTGAGGTAGGAAGAGGCAAGGCTGAGGAATTTTGAACTTATAATCTGGGGGATGGGGAGCCGGTGGAATCGGGCAAGGGTGGAGGTGATGGAGCCTGTTGTGGGAGAGGACAGGAGCTGCAGGGTTCTGGGTGATATGCAGCTTGTGGAGGGAAGAATTGGGAAGGCTGACAAGCAGGAAGTTGGCGTAGTCGAGCGAAGAGGTGATGAACACTTGAATGAGAGTTTTGGCAGCCTGAGGGATGAGGCAGTGGCACAGCCAGACGATGTTGTGGAGATGGAAGGCAGAGCGAGTCATGGCACGAAGTGTGGGCTAGACAGGACAGATTAGGCTCAAACATCCTTGGATGATGTCACCAAGAGGGAGCATGTACAAGTAATATATATGTATATATATTTCACAGAATTTTAGAGGTAAACAAATTAATGAATATTGATATTCAGAGTATTTACTAGTGACATTGTGATTTGAAGTACGTATTCTGCCAGGCTTTTGTACTCATCATTGATGTTTTTTCATGCAGGACTGCAATGAGCACAATCCAGCAGTTAAAAATGATCTTGAATTCAGCCAATGACAAACCCTCGGATACACTTGTTAAATACTTCAATGTAAGTGGCTTAGAAGAAGAAACAGGACTATTAAAAAAAATTCTGAATTGAAAGGAAACTTTAAGTAAACACACATATAACGAATGTATCAGCAGGAACGTTAAACCATTAAAGCCAAAGTAAGCTTTTTTTTATTTTGAAATTTGGTTATATATTAGGATAGGGAGGAAGTAACTCATTTAAAAGTTTAAAATGTTGAATAACAAAAGACCATTTAATTTATCCAGCTGGTTCCTCCACACCAATGCATGATCTATCCTTTTATGGACTTCTCTCCTCAGGGAAAGTATTAAAAGGTATATATTTATCCAGTCTCAAAGCAAATTCTATAGAATATTCATCCATCTTCACTGTTCGCTTGGTTTCCTTTCTTTCACAGACATTCTCTCCCCACCCACCACCCAGCCCTCGCAGCACTAAAGTTGTGTTTCTGAGCTTATTTTCTCTGTGTTCCATTGTATGTATCTTAGAATTAACGTGTTTCATTTTTCTAGAATTGTACAGTGAACCCTACCAGTGACATCTTAGAGAGAGTGAAAAATCTTGGTGAGGAATTTCAACGGCAATTTGCTCAAGCTGTAGGGAAAGGATGGGCAGATATTGGCTTTGAGGTATAAGGAGCATAATTTTGTTATACCACCATCTTCAAATTGTAACACTTTATAATTTTATTACTATTGTTATTCTAATTGTGCTCTATTCTCTTCAGCGATACAGACTTGGGGTCCGGCTATACTACAGGGTTATGGAATCCATGCTGAAATCGGTAAGTTCAAATCATAGTCTAGGGATTGGGATAGAGAACCGTCAACAACCCCACTAGAAACTCTGATTATATGATTCTCAATATCACAGTTCCTCTCTTAAGTTTCAAGTGATCCTACTTTTCTTTCACTTTTTTTAATATGCTTTGCTAATAAATCTTTTTTATGTTGACTACCTAAAGTAACATATTCCCATTTTGTTTCCTTCTGAAAAAACTTTCCTTCATTGTCTTCTGTACTATGTGCACTATATTCACAGTTAATCTTTTGAATTTCATTTTCTTCTAATTAACTGTAAAGCATTTGATGGCATCAAATCCTGTGTGAGGAATTGAGCTCATCTACGTTGACCCTCTAATGCATCACTATATGCTGTCCGTCAGATCCCATCTGCCTGTTTTGTTGGGCATTAAAGGTTCTGTGGTACATACAGATGTGTTTTTTTTAATTGTCATATCTGAATTAAGAAGCAGTGAAATTTTCACGTGTAAATGGCACGCGTATGTGGGTCTTACTGCCTGGCTTAGATACTTTTGAGCATGGTGATGGATTTCCGTATGTGTCGGTTTGCATCATGAAACTGCGTAAAAGTCTAATTGGTTCACTAATGTATTTCAAGAAAGGAAATCTTCTATAATTATCTGGTTTGGCCTTTGGATTATGGCAAACCCACATGATATAAAAAGTGCGCTGGACATAGCAACGTCTGTGACCTCTAAAATGTGCACAAGAAGTAGCTGCTTATCTTTCTTTACACCATTCAGCTTTACAGGGCAAATTGCGAGGTGCCAGCCATCTTGATGTTCCAGAGATCCATTATCCTGTGCAAAAACAAAGTATATTCGTATGCTCAAACAAAAACAAAAGCTGCTGGGAATACTCAGCAGGTCAGGCAGCATTAGGTAGTCAACATAAATTCCCCTGAAGGCTTCTGACGAAGGGTCGTCCCCCCGAAATATTGGCTCACTTTCCTTTCTCCATAGATGCTACCTGACCTGCTGAGTGGTCCTAGTGACTTGTTTTTGTTTCAGATTTCCAGCATCTGCAGTATTTTGCATTTTGTTTATATTTGAATGCTCTACTTGATTATATCAATGCCCTGCTCTCCAGACTCCTTAATAATTCCCTACTCAAACTGCAGCCCACACAGAACTCTGCAGACTGTATCCTCTTGCACTAGACTCCCAAACCTTTCTCTTAAAAGTATCTGTACTATCTGTTTCAATCATCAATTCAGGCAGTGAATTTTACATTCTCATTACCCTCTGCGTGAAGTACTTCCCCCTAAATTCTCTTTTAGATCCCTTAGTCGCTTGTTTTGTTAATACAAAATCATCCGTTTAAACATTGAAATGCAATATAATACATTCATGTTTACGTTATTATGAATTACATTTTCAGGAAGAGGAGCGTCTCTCTGTTCAGAATTTTAGGTAAAATAAATATGTAAATTTACTTTAAAGGTTTAAAAAATTATCATGTTTGAATATAAATATTGCATGTAAATGATCATTTTCCTCTCTTTATAGCAAGTTGCTAAACAATGATGCCTTTCATATATCTCTACTTTCCTGTGCTGTGGAGGTTGTGATGACGACATATGGTACTACATGTAAGTGGATGAATGAGAATTTAAAACTTACTGATATTTTGCATCATGAGCCCATGTATTTTACATGTATTATCTATCTCGTTCCCATCCCATAAGTCCTATATCTTGTTGATATTCTATTTCATCAGGACTGATCAGCCACAGCAGACTGACCTAAATCAGTTTGAATTCATTTTATAGGTTTTCATTAAGTGATGATTTAGATTTTTCTTTTTTCTTTTTAGTAAACTTTAGTGCATCCAATCGTATTTTTATAATCGTATCTTGCTGGGTTGCAGTTTCATGGTCTCTGGTTGCCCTCCTGTACCCTGCTCAAGTAGCCCGTTGTTTGTGTATGAACCTTGACAGTGAGTAATTTGCGTGTAGAGAACATCCCAGCTTGGAGTTGAATTGGCTTCAAGTACGACTTGCTTGGCAATGGAAATCAGAATTGAATCAACCTCTGCGTGGTCGCTGAGCCTGGTAACTTTGCAGTGCTCCAAGGCACCACTGATGGTGATGACAATGGCAGATTTGACCAGGGTCCAAAGGCCAAAATAGCACACCCAATGTGCCACTGCTGAGATCAGCTAACTCAGTACAGGATTCAACCCGCAATCTTGTGGAGGTTGAACTATATTCAAAGAATGAGGACATTTATTATAGAAAATCAGTAAAGCATCAAATCTTTAATCCTTTATCTGTGATCTTGATATTTATTGGGCCACTAACAACTTTTTGAATTATTTGTTCTATTTTGTTCTCAGGGAAGAGAGGCATTCAACAAGAAACTTGCCTTTCTTTCCCCTGGATCCTCAGTGTTTTTGATATAAAGGCATATGAATTTTACAAGATTATTGAGAGCTTTATCAAAGCAGAACAAAATCTAACGAGAGATATGATCAAGCACCTGGAAAGATGTGAACACAGGATCATGGAATCTCTTGCTTGGCAGTCGGTGAGTGATTGGTTTTAATTACTTTTTTTATTGATCACAGTTTCTTATAATGTATTTAATAGAGAGGTTTGCATTTTACTAATTGTGTGCCCGTGTGTATGAACAGTAACATTCTCAGTGATGTTTAATGTACAGTGTCCTGCCAAGTTTCCTGGAGTTCTAAACGGTATGAATCAAAAATCACACATGCCGTGAGATTAGACTTTTACATATTTAACATTTCTTTTGCAAGATTAAGATAAGTGTGTGCCAGTTTGGCGCAATGGATTTCAGTGATGTAGCTTTTTTTAGAAAAAGAGCAGACTTTTAATAACATATTGGCATTTTCTGTATTTTATTATAATGCAGAATTTTTTTTCAAGAGTTGGAACAATATTTAATTACGCTTTATCAACATTACACTACAACCAGTTTCTGAAATGTGAGAAACGGCCGTAGATTTGTGCTTCCATGCAGCTGTGTGGGAATAATCTTTGAATAGAAATTCATCCCCTTAGACTTTCTTTGCCTTGTAACTAATACTGGTATTCCACAAAAACAACAAAATTACATTTATAGAGCGCCTTTCATGTCGGGAGGACGTCCCAAAACGCTGAACAGTCAGGGGTCGGGACCCGAGCATGGGGGAGGGGTGGGGTAGGGATGAGGGAAGGCAGAGAGATGGGAGGTACGAACTGGCTTCCTAAGACAACCTTGCTTAAGGAGGCGACTCCTAATGTAAAGTAAGCATTTTTCATGGTGATGAATTTGAGAAGTCCCCATTCTTATTTAATTCACCCATTGCCTTGCAAATGGGAGATCTAATTTATTAGTGAAGAATTGTGCTTTGGATTGACTGAACTTTGATTTAATTGCATAAGTGTTGTGATATTTGTACACAAATAGACTATTACATTTTTGAGGGATCTGCTCCAATCAATTAATATAGTGGATTCAAGAAAAATGCTTGAAACAAAGTTGTCTGATTTTTGGTGCATCTACTGGTCTCTGTAATGTCATTTGCTGCTAGTGGCCTGTAAGTGTGAAAGAGACCGGAAGCTCAAAATGCGTTAGCTCCACTTTGGAGCTGCATTTTGAGTCTGTCGTCGCCCAAATTGTCAAATTACCAATTAGTGACTCTCTTTCGGGAGGTTGAAAGCCAAGCAATTTTTTTTGACCATTTGTTTATCTATTTCTCCTCCCCTAAAGCCAGTCTTGTGAGGGGTATGTGCCATGGGTGCTGATAGCCCTAATTTGTAACTAGTTAAAATGGTCATCCACAGTCACAGATGTGTCTGCTTCTCTCTTTGCCTGAAATATACGCACACGTCATTGGACAGGGAGCAGGAAGCTTGACTGTTTTTTGTGTCGATTGTAGCTTATAGTATGGTTATTTTACCTTATTTGACCTTAGGTGAGCATAACTGAATATTGTTATGATCATCTATAAATAATTCACATCAGTCTTGAATTTAATTCAACTGCTCTTGTTTATTTTTAACTATTCTAATCAATTCTGATGGATTGTATGTCTCTTCCTTTGTTTTAACATACTATATTATGCAATTCATATTGCTATCTCAATTTTAGCAAAACTAAAAATATTGTTGGGGAAGTGAAGCACTTTACTAGGATCTGTTTTTCACTGATCACTAAAAATAGTAAATTTATTTACACAATAGGAGTTTGACACATGCAGATACCTACCACTGAGTATCCAAACCAGACTGAGACTTCCTTGTATGCCACCTACAGATGGAAATTCGTATGTTTGGAATGGAATGCACTCTCTGTGGAGGATGTACCATTAGGCACAGGGTCTTGTGGAGCCTAGTAAGTCCACTGGGGTATTGCTGAAGTATAACCAGCAAAACACATATAGTTTACCATTGAAAGCAACTGTCTGGAAAACTTGAGCAGCTAGGACCACCCCCATTAGGGCTGTAACTTACAGGGTTAACAGCAACTGAGTGAGAAGGATCCCTGTCCCAGTGGCTGCACTGATCCTCCAGGTTCTGCAAATAAGCCAAACTGGCTGGTCTGTCATCAGAAGTGCCCTGGAGTCCTGCAGACCCCTCTGGCTCAGGAACCAGACTACCTAGAAGATCACAAAGGAAACTTATGCAGGATACGGCCTTGAGGCACTATCTGAAGCATTACAATGGGGGTGCACCGTATTGTTCTATTTTCTGCCTCAATTGCACTACCCTGCGTTCCCTGACCCCTTTATCCGTGCTTATGGTCACCTCCCTATCAGCATCCATCCACACCACTGTACAGGGCTCGAAGATGCTATTCTGTGTGAATGTCACTACGTAAATGCAAATCTTTGTTGTTACCTCGTTGCCACTGACAGCAACCCTGACATTAATAACATGCTGTAAAACAAATGTCAATATTACTTCCTACTGTTTTCGGTAATGTCAGTTGTTATTTGATATCTGCTTGTGTGCGGGTTGAGTTCTCGGTCCAGCCACACAAGCCAGCAATTGTAGAGAAATGCTTAGCAGTTTCGAAACAGCTGTGCATGCTACAACTTGTGTGTTCCCAGTTCCTCTTTTTCCAGTGGTGTTCTTGAATGCAAAGATTTGAATCAGAAATCTGTTGCAGGCTTTGTTTCCGGCAAATCAAATTCTGGGGATTGGCTCTAAAAACTGTTGAAACTTGGGATCTTGTTTAACTTAATTCAACTATAACTGAATTTTGAACAGTCCAATATAAATTGTATTGTGTATACTAAATATTCTGTGTGGTAAATTCACAATTTAAATTGTACTATATTACCCAACTCTTCCCTTCACAAGCTGCAGATCATCCAAAACTCTGCAGCTCGTGTACTCTCACGCACCAGGCTCCACAACCCCATCACTCTCACCCTCGCCCGACTCCATTGGCTCCCCATCCCCCAGAGGATCAAATTCAAGATCCTCATCCTCACTTTCAAGGCCATCCATGGCCTTTCCCCCTCCCTACCAACCTGCCCGCTCTCTCCGTTCAGCGGGTTGCGGTTTGCTCCATGTCTCCCGCCCGACCCGCCCTACCATCGGAGGCTGGGCTTTCAGCCTCTCTGCCCCCACACTCTGGAACTCCATCCCACGGTCCCTTTGCCTCGCTTCCTCCCTTGCCTCCTTCAAGGCCGGTCTCAAGACCCTTCTCTTCGATCGTGCCTTTGGTTGCCCTCCCACCTCTCTGCCTTCTCTCACCCCTACACCACCCCTCCCCCATGCTCAGGCCCCGACACCTGACTGTTCAGCACTTTGGGACGTCCTCCCGACGTGAAAGGCGCTCTATAAATGTAATTTTGTTGTTGTTTTTGCTCGCTTGGGACAATTGGACAGATTTAATTTTTTAATTATATGTATTTGAAGATCAAATTTCCTAAACAAGCTTTAAATGCTTACAGTTTCTACCATAGTGTCTAAACAATTCAACCATTAAATCTATGAATTCTCCCCAAAAAATCTGTTTAGTGTTTTCACATTGAAGTACAAATCTTTTTAACATTAGTTTACATGCCAAAGTACTACTGTAAATCCTTAATTATTCAAAATGTGGAATAATTGATGTAACCTTATTTACGTGAATCTGGTGTTGATTCAGTGCTAATGGAGTAGGCTAAGTTCTAAGTTGTATTAACTGTAATGAAATTTGAGATTGTTGCTTTACTACCAAAGGACAGACATGTACGTACTTGCTGTAAATTGGGATGTTGATTTCATGAGATCATGAAATACAGCAATTCAAAAGTCATATACTTTGCTGAGTGATTTCCTGTTTCATCTTACAGGTTCAGTAGTTTCAGTGCAAAGTTTCTATTGTGTTTTGTGGTATATTGTAAGGGTACATTATATGACAGGTGTATATGGAGCATTATCCAGATTCTCATAGTAATCTTGTAAATGTGTTTATTTTTGCTGTATTCTTTAAAACAATCATTTGTTCTTATCCTTCCGACTTCCATTTAGATACTCTTAAAAGTTAAGAATATTGTATATATTGTGTATAATTACTATTATTATTATATCAAGCTTAATCTTTCAGATCCCTTTTGAAGACACTGAATCATATAGATGAATGATTCTGTGGATGCCAGATCTTTTCTCTTACTTCCCCCACACTACTTTTCACGAGCATTGCAGTGAAGTTTCAAACTATCTTCATGCACTTCCAGCTGGGGTCACTGGAAAGTTGTGAGGAATGAGAACCATGCCTGCGTATTCTCCCCTTCCCCCACCATCCAGGAACAACAATCACAAAATTACATTTATAGAGCGCCCTTCATGTCGGGAGGACGTCCCAAAGCGCTGAACAGTCAAGTGATCAGGACCTAGGGGTCCTGACCCCTGACTGTTCCAACCATTAAATCTGGAGAATCTGGATAATGCTCCATGTACACCTGTTATATAATGTACCCTTACAATATACCACAAAACACAATAGGGGTGAGGGAAGGCAGAGAGATGGGAGGGAGACCAAAGGCACGATCGAAGAGAAGAGTCTTGAGACCGGCCTTGAAGGAGGCAAGGGAGGAACCGAGGCGAAGGGACCGTGGGATTTAGTTGCACAGTGTGGGTGCAGAGAGGCTGAAAGCCCGGTCACCAATGGTAGAGCGGGTCAGGCGGGAGACATGGAGCAGACCGGAGCCCACTGAACCTGAGCACTAAAGCCAATATACCTTACTGCTGCCCTGTCTTATATTAGCTGATTTCATATTGACTGAAGATCAAATTTGGGATTTTATTATTCTCTGTGACTAGTTCACTGTCATATAGTCTGGTGTATTTTACTCGCTGTAACATCAGAAATACTTTTACTAACTACCATCAGAAATACTTTTACTAACTGTACCATCAGAAATACTGTAAATATACAAGTTTAATGTGTTTTTAGTGTGCTAAACACAAAAGGTTCACAATAGCCTAATTATACAAATAATCAGCAGACATCCTATTTTTAAGTTATCAGTCATTCTCCTTATTGTGCAGACTTCCTGTCGGGACCACAGAGCACATTAAACTATG